AAATGGCTTTTAACGGTTATTTTTATTTCAAATTCAATCCAAAACCTTTTTGATCTAAATTCGAAAACAAATTTTCCTTTTGACGTCATTCAGCGATCAGGTGGATTACCCTAATTTCAAGAACAAGAAATCCCTGTTTTTTTTCGGAATCTTTTCATCAAAATTGGTGTCTACTCAAAGCTTTTAGCTCAGAATATCCTTTTCGCCTTTTTTTTGAGAAAGATTTTTGCTTGAAAAGGTGCTAATTTGATGTCACAAAGCGAACAGAGTCTGGTTTTTCTATAGAAAAGATGAATGAACTTGAAAGTTTGAAGGGCTTTGACCCTTGGCTTGGATCGGGTTTAGATCACTAAAACATCGTTCAAGGCAACTTTTGAATGGAAAGCAATGTTCTCCCAGTTTAGCTGATTTTTAGGAGAAACAATGGTTTAACGGGATGTAGGATTTGTATCAAAAATACAATCAAATTTGAGTCTATCAGCTGGAACCCGAATTTAATTGGTTTAAGTTAAAAGTTTTGAAATTTGACTTTTACTTTTATGCATTTAACTTTTCGGAAATATATTGCAATTTTCAATTCCTTTATGCAAATTTCTCGTGCTTAGAGACCTGTTCTATCATGGTTTCAATATTTACTCAATCTCAATAGTCATCCAATCATCGATATCTTTTGCCCTAAAGGGAAAAGAAAAGGCCGGAAATGGGTTGGGAAAAAGATGAGAGAAACGATTGTCGGAAAAAAAATGGAAAGGTGAAAATCGAAAGCCGATCAACACGTAACTTCACCCTTTTAAGAGGGAATGGGAAAAGGGGAAAAAGAAGAGACAAGCCTTGAGGGATTCCCATCATCAAACAAAAAAACATCCACTCCACCGATCAATCCGGTTATCGAGTTTCTAATAAAGCCAGTGCCTTGATGGACTTGGCATTGATAGTAGCTTTCTTGTTAATAAGTAGTGCACTTCGAAAAGACGACCGGCTCATAACCATTCTCGATCGAGCTTCTTTACCCAATTTAATTTCAAACTCCTACCCCAACAGCTAGCTATAAGAATTATAAAACTGGTCAATTTTTCAACTCTTATCCAATCATTCCTATTGTTAGCACAAGAACTATAAGGCTACAGTCAAATCTTCTCAACATTCCCAAGAAACAGTCAAGAGTTGTCTCTTTTTTCTTTGTAGTTCTTGTTTTGCTCAATAGAGCTGTGGGAACGGGGAGAAGCTATCAATTGACACAGTTCTTCTATAGGTAACAAAAAGAATTGTACACTATCTAAGCCAAATTAAATACTGTAGTTAAAGATCGACCTATCCTTGAATTTCCCAAGTGTTTCTTTATAAGCTCGAGCTCCTTTGTGAGTATAAAATAGCTTTAACATTCAACCTTTTTAATCGACAAAAGCTACAATGATTTTGCATGTCGACTTTGAAATGTGAGATGGAGCGGATAATTGAATATCCTCTGCACTTATAGAGTTAAAGTACATAGTTAGGTATACAAATTTTAAAGATATACCTTATAGTTGAAATTTTAACAAAAAAGGAAAGCTAGCTATCCGATTCAAAAAAAGCAACTATCGAGCAACTAAAGAAGCACGAGTTCCCAGGTTTACTGTAATTTGATGCCTTTTAAAAAACTCGATAAACTCTTTCCATTGAATCACTTCATTTTCCCGCTAATTTTATGATCATTCATTGTGCATCCATTTGAAACGGATTCCGAGTTTTTCGTGGATCGAAAAGCCGAGGGAAAATGAGAAAGAAAAGGTGAACAATTATCTAAAATTTTGAAAAAATAGTGTAATTGATATTTAGCTTAATATCTTTATTTTATCACTTGTTTTCTTATTTTTTGTCTCCTCCGAGTGCAACATTTTCATCGTGTGAAAAAAGCATCAATCAAAACTCGAGAAAGGAAAAATTTTTTCTTTATCAAGGAAACAATGGAAATGAAATTTTGGGATAAGATGAAAATTGGGAGTAAAAAACGGAGAACGGGATTTGTGCTAAAGATCTTACTAGGGAAAGGTTTAAACTTTCCGTGAGCTAATCGATTCCGGACCACTCTTAGGACATCTTACTAAATCGAGTATGGAGATTTATAATCTGAAATCAAAATCTGCCAAATAAGGTCGCAGACGCGTAAAAATTGAATTGAAGCTTTAAAGGACGCTTTTCAATCACTAGAGTATCGGCGTCGGTGGCCTAGTGGATAGTGGGACGGCCATTCGATAGTAAGAGCGCGGTTCCGTCCCGCTGTTGGTTTTTGATTTTTTTTTTCCTTTGGATGTGATACTTTACCTTGTAACTATTCAATATAACAAAGCAAAAGGTGAAATGTTAACAGATATAAAACGAGATCACGAAGCATCCAAAACAATAAAAATTTTCACAATGCGAACATCTGATAAAAGCAAAGTGCGTTCGTTTTTTTTCAAATTACGATTTACATTACAATGAGCAATGAACGGGTAAAAACCTGCAAAGTATTACATCTAAAGACAAAAAAAACCAAAAACCAAAAGCGGGACCGAACCCCGATCTACTACCGAGAGGCCATCCCAATATCCACTAGGCCACCGGTGCCGTTAGATTGAAAAGATAGATTCTAGTGATTGAAAAGCGCCCTTTAAAGCTTATCTTCGAAATTTCAATTCAATTTTTACGCGTTTGCAAGTTTATTTGGCAGATTTTGATTTCAGATTATAAATCTCCATACTCGATTTAGTAAGATGTCCTAAGAGTGATCCGGAATCGAAAGCTTACGGGAAGTTTATACCTTTCCCTATTAGCTTTAACCAAGCTACCGTACTCTCAAACAGCTACAGTACCCCACGAGAATCCTTTTGCTTACAGGTTACTTGATAAGACACCCAGATTAGCTATTAGATTGTGTTAAGCCTTTGTGTACTTTGTGCACAGCTTTGTAAACACACTCTTCCTCGCAAGCTCGATTCCACATTTTCCTTGTAGTGTCAACTCGTTACTGCAAGAAAACTGAAGAAATCAGTGCATGAGAAAAGATATGTTTACACATTTTAAACACAAAGTACACCAAAGATCAACAAAATTCAATAAAAAAAAGCTTGCCTATGCAAGAATTATAGACCCGAGCCATCAAATTTCAATAAAAAGAACAGCTCTGTACTTTGTGCTCAAAATCTGTAAATACACCCCTTCTAATGCACTCAATTCCTTATTTTCCACGAGTTGTCGCTACGGAAAACAAAGAATTCAATGCGCTAGAAAGGGTGCGTTTATAGGGAAGCTCAAAGTAAAGCATAAATTTTGAAAAACTCACGACCAATATCTTCACATCGTGTTTAACCAAAAATGGTGCCCAAAGGTCAAAAAATCTAAACAAAAATTTGGAAATCATAAAAAATCTAGAAATTTAATCACCTGTTAAGTAGTTGAACGAACAGAGTCGGCTGTATTTGATCGCCTTTTGATTTTGATGTCATTTTGTCCAAGTTCTGAAAGTTTCAGTGCACCAGAAAGGTTTTAGAAAGCACAAAGTATACATAAAAGTTAAATTTCTGTTGAAATTTTAAGAATTGCTTTCACAAAAAGCTACAAAAACGACTGAAGAACCTCCAAAAAACGAATCGAATGAAAAGAGAAACCTTTGAAAGAAAAATGATCAGCTTTGACGGTGAAGAGAAATGAGAGAAAATGGGAAAGGGAAAGATATTCAGCGAAAAGAAAAAGGAGAGACTAGATCAGTCTCAAGAAAAAAAAGAGCTAAAATCTCGGAAAAATCAAGTACAATGGGATATGTTGATTTGTGAATGTCTTTAAGAGGAAACAAATTCAAGATCAAGATCAACTGCTTCAATTATCTTTCGAAGGAGCTGAATAAAACAAAAGTGATCAAGGGCAAAGTAAGATTTCACTAATACCTGGAACTTAACGACCAGGTCATGCCATGACAGCTATTCCAGGCCTCTGCCAAATTTTAAGACCAAATCCAGTTCAAACCAAAAACCATGAAAGTCAAATCTTGGATCAATGCATATGAAATGCCTAATTTCCCTTCCCCTTCCCCTCAAGTGTCCCCGTAGGTTCTAGTTGGAATATTCTGGGATTCCTCCGAGAAATCCATTCTCCAATTAAAAACAGTAAAACTAAAATTGTATGGGCATACTTCACAAAAAAAAGTAGTTCAAAAAACCCAAGTGTGGCCAAGATATGAGGGTCAGAGGAAAAAGATGGCACCTTTTCTTCTCATCTACTTAAAACCTTCGTCGGAACTTTTCTCAAGATGGGAGAAGTCAACATCGACGACATGATGAGCCGCCTTCTCAACATTTGAATCGCCGGAGGACGTTTGACATTGGTGCTTTTTGCGTGGGTGCTTTTGGCTTTCTTTAAAACTTGATCGTTGTTTTGGAATTTTAACGCGCGGTATTTTGCTGGCTTCTTTGGCTTGCTCTAGGACGAGTTTTGTTGCTTAACAACAATTCGAAATTAAAGAAACTTTGCAGAAGGCTTCATTTTAATTGTTTTGTTTAGGTTTCAGAGGACAAGCTGGAGTCGCTGTGTTGCCTAGCAAAGAATGTCTTTATGCATCAACCATCACTCACCGAAGTTGGCCCACCAATTGTTGTTTGCGAGGATATCCATGGGCAGGTATGCTTATTTGAAAGTACTGTGTTTATTGTTGTTGGTCTTTAGTATTCCGGCCTGTTGCGCATCTTCGAGAAGATCACTTTTCCACCTGACGCCAATTTCATCTTCTTGGACGACTATGTTGACCGTGGCCAGCAGAATATCGAAATATCATTTCGCTCAGGTTTGCTACAAAATCAAGTGCATATTATCTTTATGATTATTACGATCAAGCATACTTCTTTAATTTAGGTAGCCTGAAAGCTTCTTCATGCTTCGCGGCAATCACGCCTGCCCGTCTATCAATCGCGTTTACGGTTTCGATGAGGAGTGCAATCGTCGCTACAAGAGTCAGCGTTTGTGGCAATGTTTCCAAGACACGTTCAATTGGATGCCTCTTTTCCTTAAAAGTTAGGTGGATAACCAAATTTTCGCCAAAAACCAGTTTTTGCACTCGAATTTGCTTCGAAATGGACCTAAATTGTGTCTTCAAGAGATAGAAAAATGAATAATAAATATTTTCAATTTAGTGCCAATTGTAGGTCAATTCATTTATAAACGCTAGCAGAAAAGTGTCCAAAGATTTATGCAAAGTATATTTTCACTACAAATAGGCGCTTATTTTTACTCTAGTTTTTTTTACATTTCTTATTGCTGGTTCATAATGAGATTCATATTAAACAAATGCAACAATCACTATCTGTTTCGTTTATTGTGAATAGTGTGAGTAGTATATAAGTACCATTTCTAGGGCAGCCCATTCCCTCAATTTTCACGTCTCGCTGTTTAACTTCTTTTTCCGATCTATTTTCATTATAAAAACACCCAAAATGCTATGATTTGATGGGATTTTTCAATGGGGGATTGGGACAAAGCAAAACAAAATTTTATTCAGTAGAACAATTACATGGAAGGGTAACACAAATTGCTTTCAGAACATTCTGTTGCTCAGTTGTATAACCCCGGCCTGAGATCTCAAGTCCATCGCTCACATCAGGTGATTGTCTATCGGCGCAAGGATTGGAGAGAATCTTGTCAACTATCTTTACAACTCGCTCAGCAGTGGATCGAGGAAAGTAGGAGCGCACTTCCTTGTAGAATGTGGAATCATTGTCGAGAATCCATTTCCATCGGTCTTCCCGAGTACCCCGTCTGATAGAAGCCGGCATCATGAAATCTTGTTTTCTAAAATTTAAGAAATTGAAAATTATATAGAATTTAAATCTATGTTTTTAGTAGGGCTCAGATTATTATATTTGAAAAAGACGAAAAAGTAATCAGAAAAGTTCACAAACCTTTCAAGCCACTCGATAACACCTCTAGCACTTAGCTCTGACTTGGATCGAAGGAGTTCATCGTTGACATGTTTCTAGAATATTGACATTTTATTGGAGGGCCACTTTTTTTTCTTCAAAATACTTTTTCTGGGGTAGTTTTATGCGTAGATTCCGAAAAACGCAACGAGAGCTTGTGCAAATGAGTTTCAAGGCTCAAAAGTGCGCGCTCATACAGTCTGATGAGAGGGATAGACATAGGGAGGAGGTCTAAAAATGGTCTCTCAAAACATTTTTTGAAGCCAAAAACACTTCTTCTGGCATACCTAGAGACTTTAACCTAGAGATTACGTTTCTGATCAAATTCGAGAAAAATAAAAAAATTTTGTTTCCAAATTTTGACCATGTGAGTCAAAATCTCAGAAATCTTTTCAATTTGCCACTACCAGTCAATTTAAGTTAGAAAATGAATATTTAGTGGTTAAAAATGGTTTTAGCTTTAGTTTTGACCTTGAAAAATGCCCCAATAGTCGATAGCTTGGGCTCCAGATAGTGAAGCAATACAGGGTGGCGCATAATTACGGTAACTTTTCATGTCCAGTTTATGACACCGAACCGTATAGTTAATTGAGTATTTCATACTTTTTATGTTTTTGTTTTTGTTGTTTAGATTATTTTTAAGCTTTTATCTCAAAAATTTATGTTCTAATTTAGAATGGCGAAGAGTTCTCCTCATCGAAACTCGATCATCGCTCTTCACAGACCAGGAGTTTGCGCCGTCAACATTTCAAAACGTTTGGGGGTATCAAAGAAGGTGGTTTCGACTTCAATCAAGATATACAAAGAATTGGGAACAAATTTGGAGCGTCCTGGACGCGGACGTCATGTCTCAGTGACCACAAAAGCCAACATTGACAAAGTGAGAAAGCGGGTGAAACGAAACCCCAATCGATCGGCTCGCAAAATGGCCAAACAACTGACAATTTCACGACGATCGCTGGGTCTAATCATGAAAACGATCTAAAGCTGAAGCTCGACAAGCAATCCAGAGGACAATTTTTGTCAGACGCGGCAAAGAAGAAGAGAAAAGTTCGATTGAAAGCGCTTTTGCGACGGTTTCAAGGTGGAAGACACGGATTTTGTTCAGACGAGAAGGTTTTTACTGTCGAGCAGTTGCTCAATAAGCAAAATGATCGAATTTACTCGATTTCTAAGCCCAATAAGGTCGTTTCTCGCACTGGGCACCCTCAGTCTCTCATGGTGTTTGCGGGTATCACGGCTGATGGCAGGACCGCACTAATCTTTGTCCCCTCTGGAATTACCATCAATGCAAAAAACTATTTGGACATTCTCAAGACAAAAGTTCTTCCCTGGGCCCAAGGACATTTCAAGACCAAGCCGTGGACATTTCAGCAAGATGGTGCAAACTTGGCTCAAGAACAACTGTCCCGAGTTCATCAACCTAACTCAATGGCCACCATCATCACCGGATCTTAATCCGCTTGATTTTTCTGTCAGGAGGGTTCTTGAATCAAAGGCCTGATCAAAACCACATTCCACGTTGAATTCTTTGAAGAATGCGTTGAAAAAAGCATGGAATGGGCTTGATGTACCCTATTTGGGCGCTACGGCCGACGCCTTCCCCAAGCTTCTCGGTGAATGCGTCAAAGCCAAGGGAGCTAAGCTAAGTTTGAAATCAAATAGTTCTTACTTTTTCGATATGACAATCTCTTCTTTAGAATATAACAAATAATTTATTTTTGATTTCTGGCTCTACAGCTTGATGATACTGAGTTAACGTAATTATGCGCCACCCTGTACAATATACAAGCGCGCACTTTCGAGGCCAGAAACTCGGCTTCAAATGGCTTTTTCCTCTTATTGTCTTTTTTGGAATCTACGCATAAAATTACCCCAGAAAAAGTACTTTTGAAGAAAAAAAAGTGTCCCCCCAATTAGGATAGTACCCCAGTATTAAATTTATAGTATTAAAGAACATACCAATTGCATTTCTAGCCTTCTATTCTTCGCAGCTATTTCCACCAGCTCTTCGTTCACCTCTTTCAGCTGCACATCCGTCTTCAGACACTCCTTCTCCCAATAGCCTCGATCACTAAAAAACGATACCATAATATACAATAAATTATATTATCTAAATACCTTTCTTCGTCCGAATTGTCCTTCTTCTTCCTCTTGTTGGACGCCATATTGAAATTACCTAAAATGATTAGCAATAAGAAAGGAAGCGAACACTAAAGTTAAAGCTACTAAATATAAATGAAATAAATTGTAGAATTTCAGATTTAAGAGCAGTTAAGTCTAAGCTCTATAAAATTCATCAAAGTAAAAGCTGGGGATAAAAATGAGAGTTCGTTTAATAAGAAGCATTACGCCAAAACAAAAAGTGTGGTTGGAAAAATTGATGGGGCTTTGACAAAAAAAAAATTTCTTCGAAAAAAGTATCGACTACGCGACTGTACGGGGGCGGTGCTCTTCTATTAGAGTATTTATGGTAGGTATGGTGCAAAACTGGCTTTTTGGGATTTTTGGGATAAAATTAAAACTTTCTACTAGCATCATAATGCATCATAAACCCTACTAGGATAAATGCAATTTATAGGTTTAGGCTTCTTGAGAACTCTAAGCTCGATGTTTCACATTCTGATGTTGCTACCGTAAATACTCTAATAGAAGGGCATCCCAAAGGGGGAGGGAAAAATTAGAAGCGCATGCGCTTCTATTAGAGTATTTACGGTACTAATTTCTTTGGAACCAATCGCTTCACAATTATAGAACCATTAAATATAAGTTACCATAAGGTAAGAGGTAGACCTAATAAAATCATTTGAAATTAGTAGATATTAACAGTTGCAATCTTCAAATTGGTAGATTCAAAATTGGTTCAAAATACAATCTTCGAACACGCAATTTGTATTTATCCGTATTGAAAGAAAATTCAACTGTTTAGATGGCACCTTTTCTTCTCATCTACTTAAAACCTTCGTCGGAACTTTTCTCAAGATGGGAGAAGTCAACATCGACGACATGATGAGCCGCCTTCTCAACATTTGAATCGCCGGAGGACGTTTGACATTGGTGCTTTTTGCGTGGGTGCTTTTGGCTTTCTTTAAAACTTGATCGTTGTTTTGGAATTTTAACGCGCGGTATTTTGCTGGCTTCTTTGGCTTGCTCTAGGACGAGTTTTGTTGCTTAACAACAATTCGAAATTAAAGAAACTTTGCAGAAGGCTTCATTTTAATTGTTTTGTTTAGGTTTCAGAGGACAAGCTGGAGTCGCTGTGTTGCCTAGCAAAGAATGTCTTTATGCATCAACCATCACTCACCGAAGTTGGCCCACCAATTGTTGTTTGCGAGGATATCCATGGGCAGGTATGCTTATTTGAAAGTACTGTGTTTATTGTTGTTGGTCTTTAGTATTCCGGCCTGTTGCGCATCTTCGAGAAGATCACTTTTCCACCTGACGCCAATTTCATCTTCTTGGACGACTATGTTGACCGTGGCCAGCAGAATATCGAAATATCATTTCGCTCAGGTTTGCTACAAAATCAAGTGACTATTTAATCGTTACATTATTATAATCTGGCATGGGCGAACTACTTTGATTTTAGGTACCCTGAAAGCTTCTTCATGCTTCGCAACAGTCACGAGTTCCCGGCTATTAATCGTGTCTGCGGCTTCTACGAGGAGTGCAACCGTCGCTACAAGAGCCAGCGTCTGTGGCAATGTTTCCGAGGCACGTTCAACTGGATGCCTCTTTTCGGTCTCACATCCTCTGCATGCACGGTGGATTCAGCAAATCGAACAGCCGCTGTTTTTTCTGTTACTTGCCTGTTTAAAGTGTGCTTTTAGCAACTTGACTCGTCCTGAAGACTCAAACAATTCATCAATGGCATCGAGCTTCTCCGGACTGATCCCGACAACTGGGTCAAGGTATTGCATCTTGTGGTGCTCTTAATTATAATTCTTTGTTCAGGGCTGACAGGCTGTGGACCCGTGGAGTTGCGTATGTTTTTTGACAAGATGTGGTGGACTTCTGTGAGCGGAAGAACATCTCATGACCCGCGCTCTTCAAGTCGTTCAAGACGGATACAGGTTCTTCGCCAACCGCAAAATAGTGATTTTAGTTTTTAACGTTGAAAGTGGAAATGATTTTACTTAACCTTTTGCTTTAGGTTGCCATCTTCTCTGCACCCCACTATTGCGTAAAATTCGACAACTCGACAGCCACCATGAAGGTATCACATTTCTTCTCAACTCATTGCACGAGGAGTGTTAAGTTAAATTTAATTTGTTTTTAATTTGTTTTCTTTAGGTGAACGAAAATCTCCGACGTGTACCACCCAACTGCCAGGGTCGTGCGAATGGAGCAACAGGAATAAATCGTTTTCTTATCGACGGCTCTTCTCGCCTTTTCAATGGTTTCTTCATCATTCTGTCTGCCATTCGATCAGGTGCTGCTTGTTCTCATGTAAACATTTTTGTTGACTTCCGGGTGGCAATAAATCGTTTTCATGAATCATTTGTAAAATTTAAGATACGAGCGGGAAATCCGCCTACGGTGTTCCCACTCGTCGGAGCAGTATGTTCTTCAATTGAGCCTGTGAGATCTTAAGACAAATAGAAACACAATTTATTATAAACCACAATTGGAGATTACACAATTACATTACACAATCACAATTCACCGGATGAATGATGATACGATGGACAAGTGCGAAAGGTTGAAAACACTCATTAATTGTTATCGCTCTCATAGGAATGTTGAAGAGCCTCACAAATGGTACAAAGAAAATCCTGCTGTTGACGAGTAAAGTATCTAGAGACCTTAACGGGGAAATTATTGTTGTGATTATTTTCTTTGATGTCTTCAAAATTGTGTATGTCACGACTGAGGCGGTCGAAAAGATCCACGGCTATGCCTCCAAGGGCCCGAGAACTGGGAATGCCATTAGGATTGTATTGCCACAGGGCACAACGCTGGAAATCTGGATCGTAGTCTCTAATCCATTGCCATTTTTGCCTCCTCGTTTTCGATTCATTTCCGGCTTGGGCTCGGGCACTAAAATTTAAGAAATTGAAAATTAGATGGAATTTAAATCTAATTGCTAAGGCCTTAAAAGTTAAACTATAACGACTCAAATGTCAAATCTTTCCTAGCTTCTAGAAAGAAGAATGAGTTTAGTAGAACTTAGTTTATAATATTTGAAAAAGATCAAAGAAGTAATCAGAAGTAAATAAGTTTACAAACCAGCGTTCTTCGAACCTTTCCATGATGGCTCTTGCGGATAGCATGCCTTCCAGTTCGAAGCTTCTCCTTCTCTCGGCTTCGAAGCTTCTCTCGGCCACTCTCTAGAATATTGACATTTTATCAAGAATTTATAGTATTAAGGAACATACCAATTGGTTTTGAAGGACTAGAATTTGTGTTGCTTGTTGAGCCAGATCTTGGCCCCTCTTATCTAGGGCGTTAAACATCTTCTCGTATTCCTTTTTCCAATAGTCTTCCCCGCTAAAAAAGATAGCATAATATACAATAAATTATAGTATTTAAATACCTGCTTGGGTTTACCTTCTTTCTTTTGCGGTGGGGCGACGTCGATGGAGACGAGCTCATCTAAAAATTGAAACTCATATATAGGGTTTCCAAAAAAAACTTTGTTTCAAACTGCTAAAAAACTTTGGTACTAGGGTAGTTGGGGGTGGGGGTCAATTTTTTTCGACAAAACCACTTTTTCTGGGGTAGTTTTATGCGTAGATTCCGAAAAACCCAAGAGCTAAGTAGAGGCAAAACAAATAGGAAAAATATTTTGAGATTTTGGTTCATGTGGGGAATCACATGGTCGAAAATTTAGAAATTTTTTTATTTTGCTCCAATTTGATCAGAAACGTAATCAGTAGGTTAAATTATGCCAGAAAAAGTGTTTGAGAGACCTTTTTTACACCTCTTCCCTCTCATCACACGATAGAAGCGAGCACTTTGGAGCCCCGAAACTTGGCTTAAAACGCCTTTTCCCGAGCTCTCACGCCTTTTCCCGAGCTCTCGTTGTGTTTTTCGGAATCTACGCATAAAACTACCCAGAAAAAGTGGTTTTGTAGAAAAAAAATTGACTGTCTCCCTCCCTCCCTCAACTACCTTAGTAAAAATGTTAGTTCATATATTAACGATAATCTGACACCACGATGCCAGTAGAAAGTTTTAATTTCAAATAAAATTTTAAAAAACAAAGCAAACTGACCTCTTTCCAAAGTGTTGATGTAGAGAAATGATTTCTCTAGGAGCATCTTTCCTTAAAAGTAGCGATTAAATGCAAATTGCCAGCGTTTGATGCAAAAATTGTAAGAAAGTACCTCGGTTTATTTAAAGTTTAAGACAATTCCAGCAAATCCTTCTCAGACTTCGGATAAATCCCTAAATTTAAATCGATTACCAAACTTTTCGTATAGCTAGATTAATTTTCACCTTTATCCACCCCAATTAATAAGCATAGATAAAGTGCTTTGATTTTAGGTACCCTGAAAGCTTCTTCATGCTTCGCGGCAATCACGAGTGCCCGGCTATTAATCGTGTCTGCGGCTTGTACGAGGAGTGCAACCGTCGCTACAAGAGCCAGTGTCTGTGGCAATGTTTCCGAGGCACGTTCTGGATGCCTCTTTTCGGCCTCGCATCCTCTGCATGCACGGTGGATTCAGCAAATCGAACAGCCGCTATTTTTTCTGTTACTTGCCTATTCAAAGTGTGCTATCGAATGACCAAAGAAGAGTGCTACTTTTTTTGCGATACTTCTCTATTTTGTGCAGTACATTGCTGCTCAGTTTGCTACTTGAGCTAAAAGTTTCTTGTCTTTGCTGAGCTAGAGAAAATTAAACAACTTTGCGGTTTTGATTTGTCACCTCTTGAACTCTTAAATTCATTGGTTAATTTAGAGTGAGCAAACGCGTAAGACATTGTGCGAATCTTAAATATCAATCATGTTGATTGCTACTTATCTTTTTTGTTCAAATTTTTCTTTGAGAGTCGTTCTATTTGGTTGCTTCACGAGCTTTTTTAGGATAATCGCTTGGGCTTACTCCAAAAGGATGTCTTTTTCTAATGGTCCGAATGGACTGCCACCAGGTAAACTAGATGATTGTAAAAATTGTTGAAACTTTTCTTTAGGTGGGGGTACCGGTGGTGGTGGATCTGGGAACAACTTCCATATTCCGAGTTCACGAGAAAGCTGCAATTCGCCCGTGCTGTTGCAGGTAAATTTCGGCAAGCATCGCACTTTGTTCAAGATTTAGAACTTGGAAATAATCGTATGGTGGCGTGCTTACTTTTGAATTCGATTTCATAACGCTTGTTTTTTAGGGAATCGCTACTCCGCAGACGCAAAAGAGCATGGCTCGCGTTCAAGGAAGCGCTCCTGCGGGTAATTTTTAACCTTTAAGAGCGGTAATTAATCAATTATAAAGTAAAAGTTTGCCTAGAGGTTCTGGAGAGATTGATATGGGATATTGTATAATTCATTAGTATTAAAGTGCATCTTTTTACTTTAACTCTAAAGTTTCCATTAGCTGGCGTTTTCATTTTCTTTTCTAAACTCATTCAAGACGGTTCTATATTTTTTTATTCGCTAGACATGCCTAAATCGCTCCGGAATTTGTCAAAAGTTGGCAAGCTAGCGAGAGAAGTGTTTTGGGATCTAAAGTAGTTGTTTAGTTGCCGTTGCCAATCTCACGACTGGTTCTTCCACACAAAGCGTGGCACCTGTGACAGCAGTTGGACCAACGGATTCGCTGGATTGTAGTGCAGAGGTAAGTCAATTGGTTTATTAACCGTTTTGTTCTGTTTATCTAGGTTTTATCTGCCTTTGAATGTCCGGTCTGCCTCGAATACATGCTTCCACCCTATTTGCAATGCCAAAGCGGACACCTTGTTTGTGGGAACTGTCGACCGAAGCTACAGTGTTGCCCTACGTGCCGCGGCCCTACACGTATAGTTTTTATTTAGTACAAGACAAATTAAAAGTTTAGCAAGCATCCGAAATCTTGGACTTGAGAAGATTGCAAACACGGTGAAGTTTCCCTGCAAGTTCAGCAATTCTGGATGTGGATCGATATTTCATCATTACGATAAAGTGGACCACGAAGAAACGTGCGAGTTCAGGTGAGTGTTTACTTTGAAGATGACGTATAAGGTACGTAAATTATATGTAAAAACTTGTTCTTTACAGACCCTACAGCTGCCCTTGCCCTGGTGCGTCGTGCAGGTTAGTTTGTTTGGGTTTTTGGTAAACTAATAGATAAATATTTAGATGGCAAGGAGCCCTTCAAGAAGTGATGCCACATTTAATTAAGATCCATAAGAGCATTACGACTTTACAAGGTATTTTTAGCTGATAAATATAAATAATGTTCTCTTTAGGCGAGGACATTGTCTTTTTGGCTACCGACATCAATTTACCGGGTGCAGTTGATTGGGTCATGATGCAGGTTAGCTTTGATTTGCAACAATAGACTAAAAATTTTTAGAGCTGCTTTGGATATCACTTTATGCTAGTACTCGAGAAGCAGGTATGGCTGAACTTTGACTTCCGGACTCCTTGTTTTAGGAAAAGTTCGAGCAATCGCAGCAAATTTTCTACGCCGTTGTTCAACTGATTGGAGCCAAAAAAGAAGCAGAAAACTTTATCTACAGGTATTAAGAAACTTTAACGAACAAAGCACTGGGGTATTTAGACTTGAATTGTCAACTAATCGTCGTCGCCTTGTATGGGAAGCCACACCGCGGTCCATTCACGAGGGAGTAGCGCACGCCATTTCACAATCCGATTGTCTTGCTTTTGATACACCAACCGCTCAACTTTTTGCCGAAAACGGGAACTTGGGTTTGTTTTTACATCTTTTAACAAAGTTAGGTTCTAGGTTTTGTACAGAGTTTCTCAAAGTTCCATTATTTTGCTACTTTGAAAGAGAAAATACAGAAATTCATCCCTTAAAGGATTAAAGGCTCGTTTATCACCTAATATTTATTTTCTAGGAATAAATGTGACCATTACACAAGTCAACGAATCATTGCGATGATCGATTGTCGCTTCTTTGCGAAAGCTTTCCGGTGAGAGTTCACAAATCAGCTTCTACTCATCAAATCAAACTACTCGTCAAACTGACCAATTACACATTAATAGCTGCTATCTATTTTGTTTTGACTAAATTTCAAAACATATCTTGTCGAACAACTCCAAAAATGTTGTTCTTTTTCATTTGTGAAGGAGATTGTGTTACCTAGTAGGTCAATCTAAATCTTTCCGCAACTTATTGTGCATAAATATGTACTTACCTACTTTTCGTGCCAATTCTCTCGAATTTGATCTGGTTTTAAATGGTATGCCTTCATCGTTTTCGCTGATTATGTTCACTACAGAATTTTATTTCGTTTTTTTTCTTGTAAGTTTGTGACATTGTTAAACTGTGTTTATTAAATAAATTGTGACTAACGTTGAAAAAAGATAAAACACCATCTGTTTAATTTAAAGCATTGTCTTTATTTGCAAGAGAAAAAAAAGTTTGAATAGTTTACATTTAATGAAGGTAAATCCGTTGTTTGATATTTTCTATACAATCTGATCACTCTATATTTAGGGCTCGCTCGGCATATGGAGAAGGAAGGAAAAAGGGGGTCGTTGGGATGGATGTCGACGTAGCATCTGTACTCGGTGAGAAAGGGAAGAGTGGAAATCCCCTCCATGCGCACATTATTGATTGAGCCAGACGCAGTAGGGCATGTGTAATGTAATTGTGTAATCTCCAATTGTGGTTTATAATAAATTGTGTTTCTATTTGTCTTAAGATCTCACAGGCTCAATTGAAGAACATACTGCTCCGACGAGTGGGAACACCGTAGGCGGATTTCCCGCTCGTATCTTAAATTTTACAAATGATTCATGAAAACGATTTATTGCCACCCGGAAGTCAACAAAAATGTTTACATGAGAACAAGCAGCACCTGATCGAATGGCAGACAGAATGATGAAGAAACCATTGAAAAGGCGAGAAGAGCCGTCGATAAGAAAACGATTTATTCCTGTTGCTCCATTCGCACGACCCTGGCAGTTGGGTGGTACACGTCGGAGATTTTCGTTCACCTAAAGAAAACAAATTAAAAACAAATTAAATTTAACTTAACACTCCTCGTGCAATGAGTTGAGAAGAAATGTGATACCTTCATGGTGGCTGTCGAGTTGTCGAATTTTACGCAATAGTGGGGTGCAGAGAAGATGGCAACCTAAAGCAAAAGGTTAAGTAAAATCATTTCCACTTTCAACGTTAAAAACTAAAATCACTATTTTGCGGTTGGCGAAGAACCTGTATCCGTCTTGAACGACTTGAAGAGCGCGGGTCATGAGATGTTCTTCCGCTCACAGAAGTCCACCACATCTTGTCAAAAAACATACGCAACTCCACGGGTCCACAGCCTGTCAGCCCTGAACAAAGAATTATAATTAAGAGCACCACAAGATGCAATACCTTGACCCAGTTGTCGGGATCAGTCCGGAGAAGCTCGATGCCATTGATGAATTGTTTGAGTCTTCAGGACGAGTCAAGTTGCTAAAAGCACACTTTAAACAGGCAAGTAACAGAAAAAACAGCGGCTGTTCGATTTGCTGAATCCACCGTGCATGCAGAGGATGTGAGACCGAAAAGAGGCATCCAGTTGAACGTGCCTCGGAAACATTGCCACAGACGCTGGCTCTTGTAGCGACGGTTGCACTCCTCGTAGAAGCCGCAGACACGATTAATAGCCGGGAACTCGTGACTGTTGCGAAGCATGAAGAAGCTTTCAGGGTACCTAAAATCAAAGTAGTTCGCCCATGCCAGATTATAATAATGTAACGATTAAATAGTCACTTGATTTTGTAGCAAACCTGAGCGAAATGATATTTCGATATTCTGCTGGCCACGGTCAACATAGTCGTCCAAGAAGATGAAATTGGCGTCAGGTGGAAAAGTGATCTTCTCGAAGATGCGCAACAGGCCGGAATACTAAAGACCAACAACAATAAACACAGTACTTTCAAATAAGCATACCTGCCCATGGATATCCTCGCAAACAACAATTGGTGGGCCAACTTCGGTGAGTGATGGTTGATGCATAAAGACATTCTTTGCTAGGCAACACAGCGACTCCAGCTTGTCCTCTGAAACCTAAACAAAACAATTAAAATGAAGCCTTCTGCAAAGTTTCTTTAATTTCGAATTGTTGTTAAGCAACAAAACTCGTCCTAGAGCAAGCCAAAGAAGCCAGCAAAATACCGCGCGTTAAAATTCCAAAACAACGATCAAGTTTTAAAGAAAGCCAAAAGCACCCACGCAAAAAGCACCAATGTCAAACGTCCTCCGGCGATTCAAATGTTGAGAAGGCGGCTCATCATGTCGTCGATGTTGACTTCTCCCATCTTGAGAAAAGTTCCGACGAAGGTTTTAAGTAGATGAGAAGAAAAGGTGCCATCTAAACAGTTGAATTTTCTTTCAATACGGATAAATACAAATTGCGTGTTCGAAGATTGTATTTTGAACCAATTTTGAATCTACCAATTTGAAGATTGCAACTGTTAATATCTACTAATTTCAAATGATTTTATTAGGTCTACCTCTTACCTTATGGTAACTTATATTTAATGGTTCTATAATTGTGAAGCGATTGGTTCCAAAGAAATTAGTACCGTAAATACTCTAATAGAAGCGCATGCGCTTCTAATTTTTCCCTCCCCCTTTGGGATGCCCTTCTATTAGAGTATTTACGGTAGCAACATCAGAATGTGAAACATCGAGCTTAGAGTTCTCAAGAAGCCTAAACCTATAAATTGCATTTATCCTAGTAGGGTTTATGATGCATTATGATGCTAGTAGAAAGTTTTAATTTTATCCCAAAAATCCCAAAAAGCCAGTTTTGCACCATACCTACCATAAATACTCTAATAGAAGAGCACCGCCCCCGTACAGTCGCGTAGTCGATACTTTTTTCGAAGAAATTTTTTTTTTGTCAAAGCCCCATCAATTTTTCCAACCACACTTTTTGTTTTGGCGTAATGCTTCTTATTAAACGAACTCTCATTTTTATCCCCAGCTTTTACTTTGATGAATTTTATAGAGCTTAGACTTAACTGCTCTTAAATCTGAAATTCTACAATTTATTTCATTTATATTTAGTAGCTTTAACTTTAGTGTTCGCTTCCTTTCTTATTGCTAATCATTTTAGGTAATTTCAATATGGCGTCCAACAAGAGGAAGAAGAAGGACAATTCGGACGAAGAAAGGTATTTAGATAATATAATTTATTGTATATTATGGTATCGTTTTTTAGTGATGAAGTCGATTGGGAGATGGAGTGTCGGAAGAAGGTTAGGCAGCTGGAAGAGGCGTACGATGAGCGGTTGGTAATGGCTTCGAAGACTGGAAGACTAGAATGGGAATTGGTATGTTCTTTAATACCATAAATTCTTGATAAAATGCCAATATTCTAGAAACGTGCCAATGATCAACTCCTTGGATCCAAGTCAATGCTAAGCGCGAGAGGTGTAATCGAGTGGCTTGAGGAGTTGGTTTTTTTCTGATTACTTTTTTATCGTTTTCAAATATTATAATCTAAGCCCTACTGAAAACATGCTTCTTTCTAGAGGCTAGGAAAGGTTTAACATTTGAGTTGTTTGATTTAACTTGTAAGGCCTTCTTAGCAATTAGATTTAAATTCTATATAATTTTCAATTTCTTAAATTTTAGAAGACATGATCGTGAAATGCCGGATTCTGTCAGACGGGATGTTCGACACGACCGATGGAAATGGATTTTCGATAATGATCCCACATTCCGCAATGAAGTTCGCTCTGCCTGGCCCCAATCCACTGCTCACCGAGTTGCAAAGATGGTTGACAAGATTCTCTCCAATGCCTCGGCCGATAGGCAATCATCTGTATCGAGAGAGGGACTTGACATCTCAGGCCGGGGTCATTCAACTGAAGAACAATATGTTCTTAAAGCTATTTGTGCTACGATTCCATGCACTTACTATTGAATACTCTTGCTATTGGATAAAATGTTGTTTTGATTTGTCTTAATCTCCCATTGAAGAACCCCATCAAATCATAACGTTTTGGTTGTTTTTATAATGAAAAAAGAACTTAAACAACGAGACATCAAAAATTCTTAACACTCCTTGTGCAATCAAACAGCCGCGGGTTTTTTTTTTCTGTGACTTGCCTATTCAAAGTGTGCTTTTAGCAACTTGACTCGTCATGAAGACCCAGCCAATTCATCAATGGCGTCGATCTTCTCTGGACTGATCCCGACAACTGGGTCAAGGTATTGCATCTTGTGGTGCTCTTAAGTATAATTCTTTGTTCAGGGCTGACAGGCTGTGGACCCGTGGAGTTGCGTATGTTTTTTGACAAGATGTGGTGGACTTCTGCTAGCGGAAGAACATCTCATGACCCGCGCTCTTCAAGTCGTTCAAGACGGATACAGGTTCTTGGCCAACCGCAAAATAGTAATTTTTAGTTTTTAACATTGAAAGTTGAAATGATTTGACTCTTAACTTTTTGCTTTGGGTCGCCATCTTCTCTGCACCCCACTATTGCGTAAAATTCGACAACTCGACAGCCACCATGAAGGCACCACCAGCCACGGCAGCCACCATATCACATTTCTTCTCAACTTATTGCACAAGCAGTGTTAAGTTTAATGGGTTTTAAATTTGTTTTCTTTAGGTGAACGAAAATCTCCGAAGCATCTTCGACGTGTACCGCCCAACTGCCAGGGTCGTGCGGATGAAGCAACAGGAATAATAACTCGTTTTCTTATCGACGGCTCTTCTCGCCTTTTCAACGCTTTCTTCACGATTCCGTCTGCCTGGTGCTGCTTTAACTTATGCCCTTGTTCTCATGTAAACATTTTTCTTGACTTCCGGGTGACAATAAATCGTTTTCATGAATCATTTGTAAAATTTAACATACGAGCGGGAAACCCGCCTACGGTGGGTTTTCCCGCTCGTCGGACATGTCAGAGAAGTACATTTATTCAATTGAGCCTGTGAGATCTTAAGACAAATCAAAACACAATTTATTATCAAACCACAATTAGAGATATTACGTGTAATCACAAATCAACGGACATTTTATTCGATGAATTTGGGTCTTTGACCATTACATGACCCCTTATTTATGAAGTTGTCGAAAAAAACAACTTTTTACTATTGTGTGGCCTCTGAGGCAAAACCATTTTTGACATCACGATCTGGTATAAAAAATCAACAGAAAAAGTTTTTCATGGTGACAAAGTTGACCATCTTTTTTTTGGAACACCTTGTATATAGGTTAGATTATAGAATGTGAAGATCGTACGTAAGTGAAGAAAATTTGTTTGCAAGAATATAAAATCTGAATTCTGGCTCGATCAACAACAATTGTCTAATTTTCAGTTTATCTTTGTAACTACCTCTTGCCATTTTTTTCAATCTTTTAGAACTGGGCGAGGGTGGAGCAGTAGTGAGAGAAGAAAAGAGAAAAGGGGAGGATCCAGTTTGCTGCGTCCCGCAGAAAGCACACACACCCCCACCGCCAATCGATTTCTAGTCAGCTGGTGCAACTGCGTCTCTTGCCTTTAAACATGCATTTCGCTCTCTCACACACCTCCACCTTCCCTTATCGAATGACCAAATAAGAGTGCTGTTTTTTTGCGATACTTCTCTATTTTGTGGAGTACATGCTGCTCAGTTTGCTACTTGAGCTAAAAATTTCTTGTCTTTGCTGAGCTAGAGAAAATTAAACAACTTTGCGGTTTTGATTTGTCACCTCTTGAACTCTTAAATTCATTGGTTAATTTAGAGTGAGCAGACGCGTAAGACATTGTGCGAATCTTAAATATCAATCATGTTGATTGCTACTTATCTTTTTTGTTCAATTTTTCTTTGAGAGTCTTTCTATTTGGTTGCTTCACGAGCTTTTTTAGGATAATCGCTTGACCTTACTCCAAAAGGATGTCCTTTTCTAATGGTCCGAATGGACTGCCACCAGGTAAACTAGATGATTGTAAAAATTGTTGAAACTTTTCTTTAGGTGGGGGTACCGGTGGTGGTAGATCTGGGAACAACTTCCATATTCCGACTTCACGAGAAAGCTGCAATTCGCCCGGGCCGTTGCAGGTAAATTTCGGCAAGCATCGCACTTTGTTCAAAAAAGATTTAGAACTTGGAAATAATCGTATGGTGGCGTGCTTACTTTTGAATTCGATTTCATAACGATTATTTTTTAGGGAATCGCTACTCCGCAGACGCAAAAGAGCACGGCTATCGTTCTAGGAAGCGCTCCTGCGGGTAATTTTTAACCTTTAAGAGCGGTAATTAATCAATTATAAAGTAAAAGTTTGCCTAGAGGTTCTGGAGAGATTGATATGGGATATTGTATAATTCATTAGTATTAAAGTGCTTCTTTTTACTTTAACTCTAAAATTTTCATTAGCTGGCGTTTTCATTTTCTTTTCTAAACTCGTCCAGGACGGTTCTATATTTTTTATTAGTTAGACATGCCTAAATCGCTCCGGAATTTGTCAAAAGTTGGCAAGATAGTGAGAGAAGTATTTTGGAATCTAAAGAAGTTGTTTAGTTGCCGCTGCCAATCCCACGACTGGTTCTTCCACACAAAGTGTGGCACCTGTGACAGCAGTTGGACCAACGGATTCGCTGGATTGTAGTGCAGAGGTAAGTCAATTTGTTTATTAACCGTTTTATTCTGTTTATCTAGGTTTTATCTGCCTTTGAATGTCCGGTCTGCCTCGAATACATGCTTCCACCCTATTTGCAATGCCAAAGCGGACATCTTGTTTGTGGGAACTGTCGACCGAAGCTACAGTGTTGCCCAACGTGCCGCGGCCCTACACGTATAGTTTTTATTTAGCACAAGACAAATTAAAAGTTTAGCAAGCATCCGAAATCTTGGACTTGAGAAGATTGCAAACACGGTGAAGTTTCCCTGCAAGTTCAGCAATTCTGGATGTGGATCGATATTTCATCATTACGATAAAGTGGACCACGAAGAGACGTGCGAGTTCAGGTAAGGGTTTACTTTGAAGATGACGTATTAAGTACGTAAATTATATGTAAAAAATTGTTCTTTACAGACCCTACAGCTGCCCTTGCCCTGGTGCGTCGTGCAGGTTAGTTTGTTTGGGTTTTTGGTAAACTAATAGATAAATTTTTAGATGGCAAGGAGCCCTTCAAGAAGTGATGCCACATTTAATTAAAATTCATAAGAGCATTACGACTTTACAAGGTATGTTTTAACTGATAAATATAAATAATGTTTTCTTTAGGCGAGGATATTGTCTTTTTGGCTACCGACATCAATTTACCGGGTGCAGTTGATTGGGTCATGATGCAGGTTAGCTTTGATTTGCAACAATAAACTAAAAATTTTTAGAGCTGTTTTGGATATCACTTTATGCTAGTACTCGAGAAGCAGGTATGGCTGAACTTTGACTTCCAGACTCCTTGTTTTAGGAAAAGTTCGAGCAATCGCAGCAAATTTTCTACGCCGTTGTTCAACTGATTGGAGCCAAAAAAAGAAGCAGAAAACTTTATGTACAGGTATTAAGAAACTTTAACGAACAAAGCACTGGAGCATTTAGGCTTGAATTGTCAACTAGTCGTCGTCGCCTTGTATGGGAAGCCACGCCGCGGTCCATTCATGAGGGAGTAGCGCACGCCATTTCACAATCCGATTGTCTTGCTTTTGATACACCAACCGCGCAACTTTTTGCCGAAAACGGGAACTTAGGTTTGTTTTTACATCTTCTAACAAAGTTAGGTTACTTTGAAAGAGAAAATACCTAAATTCATCCCTTAAAGGATTAAAGGCTTGTTTATCACCTAGTATTTCTAGGAATAAATGTGACCATTACACAAGTCAACGAATCATTGCGATGATCGATTGTCGCTTCTTTGCGAAATCTTTCCGGTGCGAGTTCACAAAACAGCTTCTACTCATCAAATCAAACTACTCGTCAAACTGACCAATTACATTAATAGCTACTATCTATTTTGTTTTGACTAAATTTGAAAACATATCTTGTCGAACAACTCCAAAAATGTTGTTCTTTTTCATTTGTTAATGAGATTGGGCTACCTAGTAGGTCAATCTAAATCTTTCCGCAACTTATTGTGCATAAATATGTACTTACCTACTTTTCGTGCCAATTTTCTCGAATTTGATCTGGTTTTAAATGGTATGCCTTCATCGTTTTCGCTGATTACGTTCACTACAGAATTTTATTTCGTTTTTTTTCTTGTAAGTTTGTGACATTGTTAAACTGTGTTCATTAAATAAATTGTGACTAACGTTGAAAAAAAGATAAAACACCATATGTTAGGTTTAAAGCGCTGTCTTTATTTGAAAGAAAAGAAATGTTTGGATCGTTTACATTTAATGAAGATAAATCCGTTGTTTGATATTGTCTCTAGAATCTGATCACTATATTTAGGGCTCCCTCGGCATATGGAGAAGGAAGGAAAAAGGGGGTCGTTGGGATGGGTGCCGACGTAGCATCTGTACTCGGTGAAAAAGGGAAAAGAGTGGAAATCCCCTCCATGCGCACATTATTGATTGAGCCAGACGCAGTAGGGCATGCCTTGTGTGGGGTAGTTTCCGGTATTCTCTCTTTATTTGCCCTCGTTTTTACAAGCGTTCCCCATCTCCCTTGAAAAACGGTCGTCTGCATTTGATTTTCAGCATCAAATTACCAACTCACTTTTTCAAAATTTTGCGATTTCCAAGAACAAAACCTTCTCTAACCAATCAATCACTCTAGTTGAACAGTGATGCCAATTCGATCTTGGGTCGACTAATGTTTTGCACTTTTTTTCCATTTCCCCATCGAATAAGTATTCCATCCTTGTCACAAATCGGTAAAAAGCCCCTGCTCCTTTTGTTCTCTCTCACTCTCGATGGAGGTTTTCCCCTCCTTTTTGCAGCAAAGCGCTCCCTTGACAATTTTAGGATTCCCTTCGCAACTCGGGAGAAAAGTTGACTTATTTTCTATACGCTTTTTTGTGCGCCTCCCTTCCGCTTGAGTTTGCTGAGATTTCTTTTGTTTTGTGGTTTTCGGAGTATTTTGGGGGCTAACATAAGAGATGTTTTTTTTTGAAAGCTTTCTGTGCTTCTGCCGCTATTAAAAGTTTAACCGCTACTTGGGTTTTGCAAAGGGCTGAATGCTGTTTATGAAATGAATAGGGAATTGGCTTGTCTATTTAAGACTTGTGAAATTTAAGTCACCAAGCAAGTTACGGTAAGGAGTTCAGAAATTAGGGTTGATTCAGTTTCGATAATAATAGCAGCCAAGTTAAGCTTTTTGTCAAAGAGCTTCAGCGAAAGAAATCATTTGCTGCTGTAAGAGAAATTTGTCGAGCTCAAAGTAAAACATGAGAAATCGTTTATAACCGCTGTCTCAGCCACAGCCGGGAGACAGACGGCGAGGAGACCTGATAGCATTTTTGAGCGAGCGATCTCTCACTCTCATCTCTCACACACCGGTGACATTCCACACAGGGAAAAGGGTCAGTTGCACCCCTGCCCAATCTATTTCTCTCTCACCTCACATCAATCGTTATGTGCATGTTGTGTGCTTCTCATTATTTTCAATTGTTATGTGCCTCTTATTTGTGAGAATGTGATGCATTTCGAATCGAAACTGCAATTTATGAGATTTCACTCTCAGAAATTGTAATTTCAACTCTCGTGCCATTTTCATTTGATTTTCTCATACAGGTGAAAAGATAAGAACTGAGTTTAAATTTGGTACTCTAATTTCATTAGAGAATTTTATTTTCATTTGTGAGATTACAAAATTCGCCCTTTGATCAGCTCAGCGTCGATTGATCGAACGATTTGATTTTTCTTTCTTTTTTTGATCTTTTCCCTTTGCCCCTGTAATGAGTCACATTTTCTCTATTTCCCATTGGACTTCGTCTAGTCGATTTGATTTCTTTAATCCATTTGCTTCGACCACTTGTCCCCAACTTTCGAATACGACCTTTCAGAGATAATTGGAAACTGATGTTTACGATTTGTCGCCCTCAATCCTTTCCGATATCCAATCTATATGCTTTTAGAGTGGGGAAAGGCGGCCTCGAGCCAAATGTGCGTGCCAACGCGGGATGGGTGCTGTGGGATGGGTGTGCTGTGTGCCTCTCTTCCCACCCGACGAGTGGGGTGTCTCCCATTGACCAGTGGGCCGTAGGGCCTTTCTCTTTCACTCGCTCTCCCCTCCTTTTTGCTCACTCCTCTTCACGGACCCTTAGCTGCCCCTAGTCGGCACCCAACTTGCGCCATGCACTTCATTATTGATACAAGTTCTCGCGGCTGACAAGGGTCCGCGTCGACCGAATTTGCGTTGGCTTACCTTTAACTTGGTCTTTTCGTAGGGTTGGTCCCATTTTACTATTCAATTTTTGTTCTTAAATCATTTTGCTGGGTGACATATCAAAATGATCCAATGATCCTATTGTGTCCGTTAACGTTGACTTCATTATCTTTTCAAAGAAGATTTATTAGAGCAAGGGAATTCTCGAATTTCATCTTCTATTAGGGAGTAAATACCTAAATTCATCAGTTCATTCAGTCCAAAGTATGCTCTTGTTTATTTCCACAAATTTGTTTTCCTCGTCGTTGTGAGACATTTTTCCCCTCACGACATGCTATTTTTTCTCGATCGACGCCCCGATATGCAAATTTCCCTCACCAGACCCGGGAAAGCGCGTTGCACTTGATTAACGATTCAGTTTGGAATCATTTCGGAGGTGCTAACAAAAGTGCCAAATTATTTGCGTCATTTTTTTTGCGCTGCGTATCATTTGCGCCAAATTTGCGCTTTTCAACACACTCTGAATGATCATTTTTGTTTTTTTTTCTCGTCGAAGATGCTCGCTATTTTGGCGTCTTCACCGGATTTAAAAATGACATAAAATCGATACAAAGGGCAAAAAGCCCAATTGGGGGGACACAAATGACTGTTTTATGGCCTTTATGGTGTTTTATGGCATGTTTTCGAATTGAAAACAGTCAGAACTAAAATTATGAAGCAAGAGAACTGAAAAAAAAAGTTGGTTAGAAGTTGGAAAAAAGTAATTTGTTATAATGATTTTTCACTAACACAAATTTGGTCCAAATGATACGTGGCGCTTTTGCTAGCATCTCTCATTCCGAATCCTTGAGTGTGTGCATACATAAACAGTGAGTACTAGCATGATAAGCTGTCTATTTTCAAAGATTAAGCAACAAGTTCTCCTTGTTACTCGTTGATTTCTAAAGATGTCTAGGAAAATTTGTCGTATCGTTTTTACCACAGCAAGCTCTTGTGTAGATTACGTCCTATTAAGAATGTATTCTTAATCGGACGTAACATATACATAATGGTCATCGTTCTCACTTCATACACGATCGTTGTTCTCACCACCCGACACGCAATGAAGAGCCTTAGTCACCCACACGATTTTATCGCATTCCCGCTGCACAGCCTTTCCTCCGTGTGCTCTCCTCTCATTCAGATTCAAATCTTCTCAACCCCTTTCTCTCTTTTCTCCGATACATTACACGAACAAGGCTCATCCAAATTTTGTTAAAGGCCCTCGTTTTGTGTGTCTTCTTTTTTGTGTTCTTCGTGAACTGGATTAGGATTTTTGCAACTATCGTTTGTTTTGCTTTTACAGCAAGAAAATGTTTTGCAAAAAATGCAAGATTTTTAAGCCAAATTATACCTTTTTAGTTCTAAAACAAAACCAATACTTGCAAAAGCTCCAATTCTATTCTTTGAGATATTTTCCTCTTCTCATTTCCTTTTTATCGCATTTTTTACACGGTCGTTTTGTTTTTTCTTGACGGAGAACAGTAGTGAGCTGTCGTCTCTTATCGTGCCCGCGAAAAAATTTCTTTGCTCCCGTTGACACTAAATTATCGGCGAGTCTTTCGAAGAAGAATTTCACCATTTTATTCACGGATTAAGAGGATTTTTTTGTTGTTTTATCTTTTTTATTTTTGTTTTTCCGGCAATAGTTTCTCATTTTTAGGGCTGATGCTGGAATGGCGAGGAGTGACATCAGCGAGTCGTGTTTACGGGAACGCGAGCTATGAAATCTCGGATGACCTTCAACGGCGGACAACTGCAGTGAGTTTATATGGATATTTTATGTGTTAAAGTAAAAACTCGAGCTTTTCCATATGGATATCAATAAAAGATTAGAAACTTTCACAATAAAATGAGCCAGAATTTCGCCAAGATGTTAGTTTTTGTAACTGAAAATGGTTCTTTGTTTTTTAAGAGTTTAACATTTGACTTTGATTTTTCTTTTTACAAACCCCTCTACGCGTCAAATAGTGAATCACTGATTGGATTTGCCGACCCTTCAACGGAAGCATTAGGGAGTAGAGAAGGCTGGAGGAAAGAGGAGTCTGGAAAATAACAAACGCCTAGTGCTACAAATGTTGTGACTTTATCTCTGAAAACTACAAAAAAGCTCTAACTCTGTCGAATGTTTAGCCCAATGTAATCCATTTTGTCAATCCATTCATTCGATAATCCTTTTTTTTTCCAGGTACTTGAAAGGCGGTACGATGGTCGGGATCGGGCTCACCGTGCCGCTACGATAATTCAACGCGCCTACAGACACTACAAGATGAGTTCGAGGTTTAAGCAGGTAGGGATTAAACAATCTATTTTTTATCTATTTACTTACAAATTTAATTATAAAAAGTTACTAAGACTTTAGATATACATACCAAGTTAATAATTAAAATTAAAGCGTTTTAGATGACCGGTGAACATTCCCAAGGAGCGAGTTCACATTCCAATGGTTTCACTACTCCTGATCGTACAAGGTAGGCCATTCTTTGTTCTTAGTTGTAGAAAAAAGTTAAATTCTTGATCTTGATCTTTTCCATTACCCACGTTGTGCAACCTCTATTCATTTGGAAATCTAAATCCCCGTTTTTTTTTGTGTGTAAGCAAGCCCGTTAACAAGACGATCCCTAACGAATAGAGGAAAAGAGAGGCAGCTTTCCGATTGGCTAGTTATGATGAGAACCGGCCTAGTTTTCTCGTTCAGATCGCTTGTCTCTCCTCGACTTTTTCATACAGCTCTAAGTGATTGCGCAACGGTCTATCCACTCATTTCCATTTTTCTAGAAAAATTTGAGTTATTGTTTGAAAGAACTGTTTATGAAAATTATTTTGAATTGTTATTATTTTAGATATGCACCAACGACATCGTTGAGCGCCCAATTGCGAGCCGATCGAACTACTCATTCAATGGTTAATGTAAGTTTTGGACTGGAAACTCTTGAAAAATCTATCAGAGTCGTCAGATTTTAGGCAACGTTTCATTTTTGACTTTACTTGCCTAATTTTCTTTATTTAGGATCGATCACGAACTCGAAGTCCTCCATCTCCGTCACCGAGAGGCCGACAGGAGTACAGTATGATTGGTGGGTGACTTTACAAAATAGATTTTATGTAATTTGGTATTCTTCAAGCCTAAAGGCGCAGTCTAGAAAAGTCTAAAAGATACCAATTTCTTTCCGTAAAATCCGAATAAAGCGCCTTTATTTGCTTAAATTCGCACACACGCGGCTGCTGTGTGTGGGTCGAGGTGAGAGATGACATCTTGACACTTTTGTCCATAATTTGGTCGATATGTGTTCTTTGTTTGATTTCGAGTTTGCGATTGAATCAACCTACATACTGTTTATATGTTTTTGGAAAATTCAAGAAGAATCATACCTTTTCCAACAATTGCACAATTTTTCAATATTTTGTTTACGTATTGAATTCAGATTCATTGATGTCTCCGCGATTGACTTCTCGTCGAGTTCCACAATCAATGTCATCTCATCCACTACATCCATCAGCGCACAGTTCGTCAGGCATTCAACCGACGCATTATTCGGCGTCCACTATTTCAATGTCACCATCGACGATTCATTCCACTTCTTCATCCGTCTCACAGGATCATCCACTTCAGAATGGCTACATTCCACCACATGTACAGGTAAAGTTTTTGTTTGTAGTTGAAAATTTGGTATGATCTAATAATAGTACGAGTACGTGGATGAAGAAAACAATCTTTATAAGAGAGATAAAAGAAACTTTATTAGGAAAATTCGAAATTCGAACTTGATTCTATTCAACTTTAATTTTCATCTATATTTAGAATGCCTATCAACAAAATGTCTGGGTGCAAAGAGGCAATGGAGCTTTTCATCAATCGGCCATGCATTGCAACAGTTTGCCCCGATTGGAGAAGAAACATAGGAAGCAGCGGTTAGTACTCGGTATCATATAGCCAATATATAGTCGATTTAGACCCGAAGAACCAATCTGCACTCCGAGAAGATTGAGTGAACTTGAACGCAAGAGACAGTACCGAATAGCCCTTAACTTTTTCAATAAGTTTGTTAAAAATTATTTTAATATCATTGTTTTTTTCCAGGAAACCAGAGCGAGGAATTCAACTCTTGATTGCCTGGGAGTTTGTCGATGAAAGCGCGGAAAGTGTAGCAAAGTTGTTATTTGGTGAGTGCAACGATTTCATAAATCGAATTTTGTTTTAATTTAGCATTTGCATAAAGACTTTGTGCAAGTTGATTAAATACTATTTTAGGCCGTCGCGGTTTGAGCAAACAAATGATTGGGGAATATTTGGGCGTTTTGCGATCTACGTTCCACAAGTGCGTACTCGAGTACTTCCTCGCCGAAGTGGACATCCGTGGTCTGGACGTCGACGTGGCGTTGCGAAAGTGCAATCACTTTTTTCGATTGCCCGGAGAAAGTCAAAAGATTGAGCACATCATGGAGGTAAATTGTTTATTGATATCTCCAAATATTCTCGTGTTTAGAACTTTTCTTTGCACTACGCCCGATCGAATCCAGCTCGTGCTTTGCAATTTCATGGAGGCCACAAGACGGTGTTCATTTTGTCCTACGCTATTATCATGTTGAACACGGACTTGCATAATAAGTGAGTTTTAAAGTATTAAAGTCTGACGCAAAAAAGCGGTTTAAACAAGTTCTTAAACACTTTAGGAACGTGAAACAGTCGGAAAGGATGAAAAAGGACCAATTTATTAACAACTTGAGAGGAATCGATGAAGGAGGAAATATTGACAGGTGTGATTTGAAAGAAACTTTTGAGTCAAATTATTTGTTTAGAGACATGTTGGGGGCGATTTATGATCGAATCAAAGAAGAGGCTTTTCAACCAGGAGATGATCACGTAGCACAAGTGGCAAGAGTGGAGAGCGCTATTCTTGGACAAGGAAAACCGGTACAATATTTGTAATCATGCAATGTAAAATATAACCTTATTTAGCGTCTTTCCGAATCCCATCGAAGATTGGTTTGCTACTGTCGACTTAACCAGGTTAGTTATTTTATTAAACGTTGTCTATTTTTCTTCCAGATTGTTGACATATCAAAAAAGCAACCATCAACAAGCCACGAAAGAGATGTGTTTTTGTTTAACGATATGATTGTGGTCCGTTTGATCTCTTTTTTTCTGATTATTGATTATTCTTTTAGATAACAAAAGCTTCCGGAGTTCGTCGGCATTCACCATCACAACAATACACCCTCCGGGCTCATTCATCACTTTTTTGGAGCTCGAGTTGAGGTAAATGAAACGAAAAGATTATTTTTTTTAACTGATTTACAGACCTTTTCTCGTGGAACTTATGACTTCGGGATTCGATTGACTACTCCAGATCATCAAACTTTGGATTTTAATGCAAGAAATCACGACGATCGTTGCCGTTTTGTTGCTGATGTCGGTGAATCAATTCTCGAATGTCACGGTAGGTCTTGCTAACGTCAGAGATCGTCATATGAGACTTTGAAAATATTCTGATGTTCTTATTTAGGAATGGAATCTGTGCGAATTGAGTTGGAGATGGAGAGAATATCGCTGCGTACGGACTCTCAACGGGACTCTGGTCTTCCGGACGGTGAAGGGGACGATGATGGAGATAGAACGACAACGGTACAAGCACAGCAAGTACAGCAAAATGGGAGTCGTCGGCACTCGGGTCATTCGTTGGATAGCGGAGTAGTGGAGGAGGGATACGATGTTCATGCTCATTGAGAATGTTACTGATTCATGGTTGATGTTTTGTTATGAAACCTTTTTCAAATTTGTAACGCCAAACATCGACTATATTTTTCTATTTTTGCCTCCCACGCTGAATTCACTTGATTATTACGTGTGTATAGTGAGATTTCCTCCTTTAGTTTTTCTTTGTGTGTATGATCTTGTGGTTCTAAACTTTCCCCTCACGGACGAAGCTTGCCAAAACTTCAGACACGAAATTTTTTGCTGTACCAAATTTTCTCAAGGCATAACATAACGTTGGCTCCAAATATTTGCTCATAAAACCTATGTCCGTTTTTACTTTTGTATTTCCCCGTTGACCGAACTTCTCCATATTTTTTGATTGATCGCGATGACTAGTCTCTAGTAGAAATGTATGTGATTTTTTATGTTTAAAGAATTTTCGAGACTCACTGTGTTTTTTACCTATCTCTCCACTTCCACTTTCTTTCATAATAACTTTTTCACATCCGAGCTCTCTTTGTGTGTGTCTTTTGATCAGAGCTCTAGGTGTCTATTGATTTGATAGATTGATGCGTAGATTGTATGCGTCTACTGAATAAATGATTTTATAAAAATAGGATATAAAATCTTACGGGTTTTTCAATCCAACAACACGTTACATCAAAGAAAATTTATATTCTTGACAGATTTTTACTATTAGTTGGTACATAAGCTTCCTTTTGACGGTGGAATATTATGAGTACATCTGCGGAGCATCTTTGTAGGCTAATTGAACAACTTAGAACGATACAGCTGACTCGTTTTGTTCAGTAATCAGTCTAAAAGTGTCAACATTTTTCCAAATTTTACAATTTCCATTGTTGTTTCTTTTTGCTAACCTTAATCAGTCACTATTTATTTTTATTTAGATGCTACCCTCGGAAAGTGATGCCTCGGAGAGTGGCCCGTCGAAGTTGTCGAAGATGGCCGCGCTTTTGAACAGGAATCGAAAAACGCAAATTAAAGAGACACAGGTAAGACTTGTTTTCTAGATGACGCTTATAAAAGAGAGCTGAGTCTTTGGATATTTGTTGGTGCTATAATGTGTTCTATCCTAAGCGTTTTTACAACTGTGGATTACTTTGAACGAAATATAATAATGTTCCTTTTTAGGTTGGAGAAACGAGCAGCGCAAAGAGTGAAATCACGCCCGAGATGCGAGCCTCGTCATTGGGAACTTTTTGGGGCCCGGGAAAAACGGTAATTTTTGTTGAAATATGTTTTTTGAAGTCAAATAAGCCAAAGGTTAAAAGTGTTTCATTATCAAGTCAACTTGGTATAAAATGTCCAATGAAAATTCGACGCCCACGCTTTTACCAAATAAAGCCATCAAAATTTGTCGATAATTTTCGCTGGACTAGGTGATGAGCAGTGCTGATTTATTTAATTTTCAGGACTTGTTTAACTCTAGGGTGACTCTTCGAATGGAAAGCAAAGTGGTGGGAAATCGACAAATGTGGAAGAAGAATCGGAGATCGATCGAGAAATTCGTGAGCGCCGAGAAGCGCTTTTGGGGGAACGAATAAAACGAGCTAAAGGTTTGTGGATTTTTTGTGGGATTTGGAATGTAAGCTGGTACTTTTGCAGAAATGACATCCATTTTTCTTTTTAGCTGCGATCTTGCGAGAAGCGGAGCGTGAGAAAAGCAATGGACGACTTGAGACGTGAGTTGTTTTGGCATTATAGTTCTAAACTTAAACAATTCATTCGGAAACAGCCATCATTGCTTTAAAGTAGCGTATGTATTGTTCCTAGAAAATAATCGAAGTATTACATATCTTTTTTCATCTACAATTCCTATTTTAGGAGACCCATTGCGAACAAGGAGTTTCTCTCACGAACTCTCGACTCAATCGTTTCCAGTGATCGACGAGAAGAAAAACGACGCGAACGAGCACAAGAGGCACATCATCAGAGGGAACGCGAAAAGGAACAAGAAGTTCTGTAAGTGCTTAAACGTTTATGAGTTGTAAGAGAATAGGTCAGCTACGCGTATGAGATATTCGACATTTCTAAAAATTCGATAAACTTTTAATCTGTTTTGTTTTAGGCAACGTTTACGCGATCGCGAAAGGAGGGAAGCTAGAAGAGATGAACGAAAAACGAGGGACACTTCAAAGGAGAAGCGGCAGAAAGGGTGAACATTTTTAAAAAGTTGAGCGGTACTTTTGCACTCTAAAATCATTGTGAGACATATCAAATTGTATTTTATTTTTTAAGTTATCAAATGAGGTTATCTATATTGCTAAATTTTAGGGAGCCAAGATCACCGAGCCGGAGTCGAAGCATCGAAATTATCGATGTCTCATCGAAGAGCGTGAAAGAAAAGAAGAAGAAAGAAGAAAAACAAAAGTTGGTTTTTCATGTAATCGAATATTCCTTTGAAGTAACAACTCACTAGTTACTTTTCAGGAAGAAGGATCGAAATCGCAAAAGCCGAAGCGGAAGTCGACAGGATTCAAAGAAGAAGCACATAAAAGAAAAAACGAAACACGAAGACTAAATGGTACCCTATTTTTTGATCTCATTGAATTATTGTCGCTATTTGTAAATATTTTTGATGTTATCCTTGTTGTGATTTATTTTTTTACTTATACATGATAAATTTGCCTCAGAATTGAATTTTATTGCAATTGAAATGACATTCCTTTGATGAAATGAAATGACATTCCTTTTAGATTCTTGTAGGTTGGAGAAAAATTTCGGGACACCAATTGGGCCAGGTGGTTAATGTTTCGGAAACAGGGAGCACAGACAGAGTACAGTATACTTCCATTTATCTACTTAATCTACTTAATCTACTTCCATTTATCGAGCTTGATCCTTGAAAAGCGGTAAATTTATAACTTTTAGCTAGAAGACCGCGACATTTTTCATTTCGTCTCGACATTTCGCTATATCGAAGTTCGACTGTACAATGTTAACTTTGTATAAATTCTTAGAGTTAAACTTCATTTCGTTCAAGATATCGGTATAAAGCAATCTGCAACGACAGAGCTTTACGTTTCCAAGTCTACAACAGCAAAAGCATTAAGCAATGTTGAAATAGGCAATCTTCTTTCCCTGAAGGGCCTTAAACAACTTCGCATATCCATATTTTGGTGGTTTGAAGGAGCCACTTTAGCTTAATCTACTTGTCGGATCTTGCACGTTTCATACCGTGTAGCAATGCTGTATTACTAAAGTAATGTGAATCAAGACTATACAAGTAATACCAGTAAAATCCCGACTTCCCGTTTATCCACAAAATATTTCGTGATGTCCGACAATGCCTTCCAAATATTTTATTGTTGGTTGTCGAAAAGCAATTCCAATTGTTTGTTCCAAGTTGGTTGCTTGTGTTTGTCCTTGTGATTGGTGTTTCTTCGGTTCAATGTACAAATAAAATTTATTTTAAAAAGGATTTAAACGCAACTATATGAAGAATTTCCGGAAATAAAACAAGAGCTTCTTACAAAAAGTTTGCGCAATAAATTAACAAACACACAAGCAAGCATAAAACAGGTACAAAATAAATTATGCACAGATATAAATGACGCTGTCGCTGTCGGTTTTAGAGACGAGAATCACTTCCAGCATCCGAGAGACGGGCACCGTGACTTCCAGTGATTCCAGAAGATGAACGCGCATCGTCGAATGCTTCCGGCCCCTCACGAGTGAACGAATCTAAACGAAACCGAATTGAATACAATTATTAAATCGCGCATACCACGAAGAGAGCTGTTGCTTCCGTAGCGCGTAGTTCCACGAGCCATCGAAGGACGAACACTTGTGCGATCGATTGCATTCATACGTGCCTAAAAACAACCAAATCAAAAAAATACTTTAAAAAAACTTACCGTCAAGCGACTGTTTTCCGTGGTAAGACGATCGTTGCCCTCCTGCAGGTCGTTGATCTCGTGATTGAGCTGACGGTTTTTCATTTTCTCCCGATCCACATCTTCCTCGAGCTCCTCAATTTGCCTCTTCAGTTGACGTTGGCGCTGCGCAGAACGATCAGCCTAAAATAAGTCAAGTGCACTTTTATTAAGTCTATTATTACCATCTCCTTGCAGCGTTCACTGTTTTGCTTCTCGGCTTCAAGCATGGTGTTGATCTCAGCCAGCCGAGTTTCTGCACGACGAGCTTGACGAACTTGTCTATTCAGTTCTTCAATCTAAAAAAATACCATTGTTGGTTGCAAAATTCAAAATTCACCTGGCGGGTCAAGGACTCGACACTTTCATTAGAGAACTGGGCATTGTTCTCAGCCTTACGTTTAGCAGCGAGAGCGACGCTCTTCTGGCGTCTTTCTTCTTCAAGTTGTTCTTCAAGCTCTCGGATCTAAAAAACGATTATCAATAAAGCAACTAGACAATGATACTTACTTGTTTAGTGGCCTGTCGCCGGTTGTCGTCCTCCTCTTGTTCCCGTTGTTCACGATCACGAGCGAGTTCCGCTCGCATGGCGTTCATCTGCACCTCGTAACGAGAGTTTTTATCATCGAGTATCTGGCATTCATCCTCGAGCTCGATGATCTATACAAAAGATATTAAGAAGACCTTTAATTACTTCTTACTTGTTCGCCAAGTCGAATATTTTCCTCCTCCAAAAATCGCTTTGCTTTTTCCAGATCAAAGACAGTTTTTCCACTGGCATCTTCGTTGCTAGTCTATAAAAATAATTTTCTTTTAACAAATCCTAATAACTCACCAAACTATCAACCTCCAGTTGAAGGACTTTCTTCGCCTTCTCCAGCTCATCGTTCTTCTCCTTGAGTCGGTTGAGATCTTGCACAAGTTGCAGGTTCTTTGTCTCGAGATCACGCAACTAAACATAAGAAGTTAAGTTGGAATAAACACTTGCTCACTTGTTGCATGGTCATTTCTTTATCGCGATTCACATCGTCTCGCAATGCCTTCTCCTCCGCAAGAAGCTGATCGTGCTTGCGTTGTTGGCGCTGGGCCTAAATGAACACATACAATATTATTGGCAAAAATATGTACCTCCGAAAGAGCAGCATTGCTCAATCCCACCTCATTCATCAAGTCTTCGTTCTAAATTATGCAGATAAAACGCATGTTATTTTACCAAACCTCTTGGATGAGTTTCTTTTGGATCGTTCTGCTTTTTCTCGAGCCAGCTCTTCTTTCTTCAAGCGATCCAATGCGTCTTCGAGGTCTCGGCTCAATTTCTTGCGAAGATCTTCAAACTTCTCCTCGGCGTCCAGATCGATTTTCTTTTGCAATTCGGCTTCTTTTTGCTTCAGGGCGAAATTTTCCTAAAATTTATAATAGACACAATAGACAAACAAAAGTTCCATTACTTTGTTTAACCGATCACGATCTCGCTGCAAATCATCGTGTTGCTCCTCCATTGCACGGTACTCCTCATCTTTGGTGCGCAACTTTGAAGCGATGAGATTGCGGTTGCTAAAACATGTCATTGAAGATCTTATAAACATTACATACCGCTTTTCCTCTTCAATTAACTCCTTTGCGTCAGCCAGTTCCATCTCTAAGGCACTGATTTTCTTCAGAAGAGTACCCTAAAGTCCTTTATGCCAAGAAATAAAATTAGTAAAAACCGTTTCACGCCTAGCATTTTCTTGCAGTGCAGCCAAATCCGTTTCGGTTTTGCCGTTCACTTTCTGGATGTTCTTGTGGCGCTCTTCTTCGTCGATTAGCTTTTCTTGAAGTTGTTGCACACGTGCTTCCAACGAGCGCTTTTCCTTTGTCAACTAAAAGTAAAGATTACACAATCAATGACAAAAGCAAAACAAACCCTTGCATTTGATTCCTGCATCTCAGCTTGCGTCAGCTCCAAGTCCCTAAGCTTCTTCTCAAACGACGTGCGTTCCTGGATGAGTTTGTGACGAGTGTTCTCTTCAGCCGACAGTTGCACCTCCAAGTCTCTGATGTCAGTCTAAAATCAAGAAATAGTTTATTCAAAGTTAACACGCATACCTGCAGCTTCTTCTTTTCGGACTCGAATCTGGATGCCTTGGCCATTTCCTGCTTCATTTGCTCAGAGATGTGCATTAGTTCCTCTTCAAGTTCTGTTTTCTTTGCATTGAGTCGTTGACGTTCTTCATCGGCATCCGTTCGTTCTGCTGTTTCAAGTTCCAAGCGTTGTTGCAAGCGGGCACGATCTTCGTTCAACTAAAGAAACACATTTAAATATTAAAGCCACTAGGTTATCAAAACTTACAACTTCAATTCGCTTTCCACAATCATCAATGTAGACCTCACTGCGACGCAACTTCTCGGACATGTTTTTGATGGCGTCATCTTTCTCGGCAATAACCTCGTCCGTCTTTGTGATTTCCAGAAGAGGCTTCATCTAAATTCATATTAAAACAACATAATCTAACCATTAGCAAACTTTCATCAACAAGCGCCACCAGTGCCATCCTCGAAGTTTCATCCATGCAAGTCCGTTCCTCTGAATGATTCGAATCGCATTTGCTTGTTCCGTGCGACGCTTAAACTCCCGTCTAGCCAAGTTGCCGCGGCAATGTGCCTGAAATAAAAAGGATTTTTTAAAACAAAACAAGCTCAAACCTGAAAAGCGACGATCAGGTTTGTGATCTTTTCATCGCGCATTTGTTCAAGGATCGCCAATTGTCCCGCTTTAAAAAAGACTTTTGTTTTGCCAATGATGGCCGTATCGACGGCAAGATGTTCAAGCATTAACCTAAAAAGAAATTATTAATCGTTGGTAAACAAAAATTATACCTGCACGCCTCTTTTCCATCCATGAAGCCCTTTGGAATGACATCGGGGCACAAAATTCGTTCATAGCGCTGGCGGAATTCTTGGAAAAGTAATCGATTTGGATATCCCTGGCGAGCGATTCGAATTCCCTCAACGACTCCATTACAACGCAGTTGTTCCAACACAAGAGGGGCAGTGATCTTTCCTGGCTAAATTTGAAAATACTTGAATACACAACAAGCACCAAACCTTCTTTTCATAGTTGGGGATGATGCAGCGCACAAAGTGCGGATTGGTATTCTCCAGAGTGCTCATCAGTCGAGAAAGTTGCTCCTTGTAAAGTTGGCATTGCGTGCGAAACATCCCTTTCTTGGCACGTGCTCCGAATATTGACTCGCAGCTTTCAGTAGAGGCGATCGACGCAAACTCAGCTAAAACGAAAACCTACTGCGTGCAATTAGAAAATAAGTGATAAATAATCGCTACCATGTTTCCACATTTCGGCGACGATTTGATCCGAACTGTGCTGCAAAAGGTCTACAACATTGTCGTTCAACGGATCCATGTTCTTCATTCGCCATCCATCAGCCGAATAATCGACACGACCAGCGTAATGCATCAGAGCAAAGGCGCCTCTAAATATGTTAAATTTTAAAATTCAAAGGCTAAAAACGAACTTTGATCGAGCCTCTGGTGGAATAAACTTTGCGTGGTCTTTGTGTTGTCCGATCAACTTTTCGACAAAATTCTTGTCATCCGCCTTTGGAAACAGACAGGTATCATCGAGCAAAGCCATTACCCCCATATTCTGAATTCAACCAATTACAAAGAATGAAAAGAAATAAAACCTTGTCAATCAAATCAATTGTGGGCTGCAGATCGTGTCCGAAGTCGACAAAATTCCACTTCACTCCTTCGCGCTTGTACTCCTCTTGCTCTTGGATGAACATATGGTGGTTGAAGAGCTGCTGAAGCTTCTCGTTGCAGTAGTTGATGCAGAGCTGTTCAAAGCCATTCTTCTCAAAGATTTCGAAGCTAAAACAAACAGTCAAAGTTAAATTGAGAAGATTTACCCAGCAATGTCAAGTATTCCAATGAAAGATGTTGTATTCTGACGAGTCCGGTCCAATGAGCGATTGATTCGTTGAACTAGCCTATAAATAAACGTTAGAATCATAACACCAACGCAAACCATCGGAACAGACGCTCATAACATGCTTTTGCAATGGCTTCAGCGGTGAATTCGGCTTGTTCTGCAGTTTGCGAGCGGACGAAAGATTCGCGGCCACCAACCTAAGTAAATCTAGGCTGACAGTAGTAATAGCAATACCTGTAGCTTTGGCTTGACAAAGGCACGCATAAAGTCTCCAATGGGCAGACCAAGCAGCTTGCAAATCTTCTGGGCGACTTTGTCATCGACGAGGTAAGCTTGATCGGACGTCTTGTCTTGAGCGAACTTCAGATTTCCAAAAAGCAAGACAGCTGAGACAACGCGGAAGATGGCTTTGACTTCTTCGTCACTGAGGCCCATCACCTAAACTTACAATATAATACAAACAAATGCAACAACGAATGTTTTATATAATGAAGATAATCAAAGGAACACACATTGAGAGCAGCCACCAAATTGCGGAATTCTTCTCGATCGTTCACATTTGGAATTGAAGTGTCACCATTTGAAAGGAAGCGATACGCATTGGGTGTAGCCTCCAGAAGCAACTCATCTTAAAATTAATGTTAAAGCGTTTTAATGAATTCACTATTACCAGCTAACTTGGAGTCGGCTCCCTTGAGAAGTTGGTAGAAGATGTGGAATGCTCGTTCTTTCGGAGCTTGATGGATGACGCGAGATTTTTCCAGAAGATAGAATTCGATGCTTGCTCCGGCAATTAGTCCGCGGGCATCAAAATGAATCTTGATGAACTTTCCCTAAATTAAACTGTAAGTTAGAAACGGCATTAGTCACAAACAAAGCGAGAACTGTTGTCGTTTTTGATCGTCTTGCTGTTGCCAAAAGCCTCAAGAATCGGGTTAGCATGTAGCAGTTGCTCCTCGAGGTTCCCCTAAATTCAAATATTAAAGGGTTTGCCAAACTGTAAACACCATATAGCGATTCGCATTGCTGGTGTTCAACGAGGTGACGCTTCCCCTTAGGCCACGCTCTTGTCGGATTTGACCAGCCACCAACGTCAAATATTGAATCACTTTCTTCGTGTTCTCCGTCTTGCCGGCTCCAGATTCTCCGCTAAACAAAAAACATTATAAAGGCTAGAGTTTCGCAACTTACGTGCAAAGGATGCTTTGATCTTCACGATTTTGTAGCATGTTCCGGTAAGCAGCATCGGTGACCGCAAAAATATGCGGAGGCACATCAGTACGATTCTAAATCACAAAATTAAAAGAGACTTGTAGTAAGATACGCACCTTTCCACGAAATCCATCAGCGATTTCCTCCATGTAAATTGGCATCTTCTTGTATGGATTCACGACAACGCAGAACATCCCCGAGTAGGTCTAAACAAAGCAGTATAATAAGCTAGAAAAAGTGTAAACGCACGTAGATCAAATCCGAAAAGTAGCGCGACTTGAGGTTGTGTAGAATCCCAGCCTCGTTGAGCATTGTCAAATTGGCCATATCCTCAGTCTTCTCGAACTTCGGAGGATTTGTTCGCTGGACATCGTCGTTGAACGCCGTCTTCTCTTCACCAGTCTCCGCGATGATCAGACGAAGAAGTCCTAAAGAATGAAATTAGTTTACTGAGAAAGACCGAGAGGATTAAACTTAACATTATATGACTGTTTTTCAATTTCCAGATCCCCTGGGGCTGTGTGTGCTAGCTTAAGGGTATCCCGTCAAAGGTCTACTAGGTACATAGCAAGAAATCTATCCAAGTCATCTGATTCTCCATTTTCTTGAAAGCTAGCAGGACAATTGTGGTCCAAATAACTTGAACCAATCAGTGCAATCAAATTTAAAATGCTCATCTGCTAAAACCAAAAAGACCGCTCACACTTTAGACATCGAAAAAATTTAGAGCAATTGAGGAGTTAGACATGCCAGTCCTTTTATGGGTTGGGCCTGAAATACAAAGCATGGTCGAATTTGAAACTTCCGGGATTCCTTACAGACGAGTTAAAAACAGCCATTCTTGGATAGTCTTTGCAAGAAAAGTCGTGAAATCACAAAACTCCGTACCATTGGCCAGTTCCTCTTTGACTTGAGCGAGCAGAAATCCCTCGGTTTCGTGCGGCACCCAGACGAAGCGCTTCGACGCCCAATCAGCTTGGTAGGAAGGGTCGTCGACCATAGTCCTCTCCTTGACACGAAGCATTGCCAGTTTGTTCGTATCCATCGGGCGAATCTAAAAGAAAAAGTATACTTTAGTTTGAAAACAAGAATGCAACTTGAAATTAGAAATACGAAAAGGGGAAGAGTGAGTATGGATGGATGGGTAAATGAATCAAAAGTTATGCAAAACATCTAGACAGCGCAACAAATATCAACTTTTACGGGGCTATACAGGTTAGGAGGGGCCTCAAAAATGCCTCTGGCAAGTGCCTTTTCTAGGGGTTTCGGCCACGCTGAATCGATTGGTAAAATTTTTAGAACTTGTTTGTGAATTATTTTTTTGTGGTCGAGGCAGATCTAGCTTAAGGCAAGTAACAGGCAGCCAGTCTTAACCTATGCCCAGCCAATACTCGGACGTGATTAAGCATACTAGACTGTGCTCGGTCAGTACGTTATATGTGGGAACTTTAGCCTAGATAAATAACACGCAAACAACGCGGGAGCGACAAAGGAGGTACGTAGCACGTCTAGGCTGTTAACAACACCCGAGGCAGCATCAAGCCTATGCTCAGCCAGTACTCTGAGCCATAGCCTAGTATAAGCTTAGTGTAGCAAGAACAAGCTCTAAAAATATTACCAAGCATGGCCGAAGTTTTCTAGACAGTCGCCAAAAGTACGGTAATCAGAGCGGTGCTATTTTGGCGGTGTTAGAGCATAAAAGCTTTTTCTCTTGTGAAATCATCAAGTGCGACGTCTTTTTTGAAAATCCAAAATACGCGCCAAATTTCGGCCGGCTGGTGCTTTCTTTTTGGGGTTTTTGAATAGGAGAAAGAGCTCTTTCTCGTCTTTTTCCCTTGTCCTGTATTTGCCAGTCAGCTGGGGCATGTGCATCGATTAACCTCGGGAAACTAGATTTTTAGTATAGATTCTCAATTTTTGGTGCAATTGGCATCTCTGAAGTGTACATCAAGAACAGTACCATGTTGTTTGTACATTCAGAAACAGCAGTATTACAAAATGTGCTCTTCAGACACTTTTCAAAGTGTGCAACATTAGTGTGTGCAAGTGTGCAACACTCGAAGCGTGTCCCTCCCTTTTAACCCATTTCCTAAAGCGTGTCCACTTTCAGCAAACTACCATAAACTTGCTTTTAGTTTTATCCATTTTATCTACTTTTTGGCTCTGTCTGTCTGTTCCGCTGTTTTAAAAAAAAGGGCTGAACCAATCGATCTGAAAATTTGACATTACAAACCTTCTTACCTAACTTTTAGTTTGACATTACAAACGTTACCAAAAATCAAATAATATCTGACACATAATTTGACCGTTTTTTCTAAAAATCGAAATGAAAGAATACACGCTATCGCGTGGCCGAGTGCTAGTGCGTCCCGGCGTCCGATCTGTCAAGTTGAGCAACGTTAGTCTCGGGTTCGATTCCTGCCCGTGCAAACTTTTTTCTTTCTTTGTTTTTACACTTTTTGAGTGAGGAAGGTCACGGTTTTGATTCCTCTAGGGGTGAAGAAAATAAAATTCGTCTGCACAAAGCCAGAAAAATCCGCCGTTAGGCGGGTTTTTCTGGCTGGTGAGTATATAGAATGGATAAAACCTAGAGTCAAAATTACGGTGTCAGCATTGTTTGCTTTACATTCATCTGTCTTTCATTCGAATTTATGATACTATGTATAAAGATTGCTATGTAAATACCCTGGGGTTAGCACACAGAGTGAGTAGAATAGAACAAGAAAGAGACTTCCCTTCTCATCCGCCTCTTCGCCGCCTTTGCTCACTCGTCAAACCAGCTGACCACAACCCCCTCACCCACCCTTTCCCTTCCACCAAGGCTGCCACAGAATTGATCGAATTTTGCATATTCACTCTATTTGCTAGTCATCTAATATATAAATCTTGATTCTTCATTATGGGCAACAATTCCGCGAAATACGAAACGGCCACCGAGGACGATGAAGATATCGAGGATAAGCCGAAGAGGAAAAAGACGAGAAAAGGTTTAATTCATACAAATAAAGGATTTGATTCCAAATATTGATTTGATTTGGTTCAATCAAAATATAGCTAGACAAACAGATCATTCTTGTTGACTTGATGCCACTTTTTGCTAAGATTTTGAATTCGAAAATTTGTTGCTGAAATTCTTGCAAGCCTATTGAACAAATCTCGATGAAACTTTAAAATTTTAAAATTATTTGATTTTAAAATTAGCTGATTCTCATTTGAATGGAATTTTCAGGAAAACGAAAAGCCCAAAATGCAGAGCCAGAGTGTAGTTCGCCGAAGAAAATCGCAAAACTTGACACGCCAAAATATGTTCACGAGAAGCTATTTTTGCAGGTATTAAATGGAAACGTTAGAATTAGTTAGAAGTAATGCTAGCATTTTAAAATGAAATCTAAGAATTGTAGAGTTTTTGTACTTTTTTTTGACCTCATTGGCTCAAACGTCTCAAACTCCCAGCTTCTTGGAGACAATCAGCTTGCAGTCGAATTATAAAACAATTAACATATTAATAAGTACTTAGGGTAAGATTACGATATTGTTTTCAAAAATTTTAAAGTTTAAACTTGAAACTTCAAAGTGTTATCTATCTTTTTCCTCAGGGCGAGGGCAGCGATGTGGCCGTGCTAGCGGTAGGCCATCAATGGAATCTCCACAAGCTCTATCTCAAACAGTGCAAATATTTCGAAGCACTCTTTAGGCAAGTCAAATTTGAATTAAAAAAAAAATCCGAAGATATGAAACAAATATGCATAATCTTAACAAAAAAAATACGAATTCCGTGTCATAATAAGTTGCTATGTGAACAACTCTATCGAGTTTCCAACATTGAGTGAAAAGAAAAAAAAACTAATTCAATATGTCAAGTATACTATAAACCTGAAAATCTCAACTTTCCCATTTTCAGAGAAAAATCCGATTGGAAAGAGCGGAGTGAAAACGTGGTGAAGTTGGAGTTTCCCGCCGGGAAGGTCACCGTTGAGGGTGGGTTGATTGAGGGAAATTTTTCATTTCCTTTTCACACTTACAGATATTCAGTGAATCTTTTGAGATTGAAAATGCAAATAGCAAATTTAGCGCTTCACCAAGTGCTTGGCTCGCTCTACTCGAATGAGATCACATTAGAGATTGGGGAGATCGAGGGGATCCTTTCAGCTGCCTCGCTGCTACAATTGGTAAAAGAAAATGAAACTAGATTACTGTATTTAGATATATAAAAAAAGTAAGCTGCTTTCAATTTTTAACTTGAATTTCTAGGAGAGCCTCCTTGACCGTTGCGCCGAGATGATGTGCCAAGATATCGGCGATGATCGAGTGCTGAAGTGATTTTTACCAGTCGAAAAAGACAGACAGACAGACAGAAAGACAGAAAGACAGATAGAAAGACAGACAGAAAGACAGACAGAAAGACAGACAGAAAGACTACGGTAGATCTTTCATATATAGTAGATTAATTATCCAATTTCTAATTCCTTCAGATTCCTTGATTTGGCCATCATGTACGGTTTGCCGACGGTCATCCAAAAAGTAACTTCATTCTTGACAATTAACTTTTGGCGGCTCGCAAAGGAGAAAAAATTTCTAGCCGAAATTAGGTGAGTTGTCGATTTTAAGGAAAAAAACAAGTACAGGTCTTGGCTCTGAAACTTTGAGTTTGATCCAATCATGGGATTTAAAGAAACCAAGCCGGACTTCAAAAAATTTTCCAGCGCGACCGGATTTGGTCGATCCCAATATACGTCTAAAAGAGCTCAAAAGGGAAAATACAGTACACTACAGTATACGATACTCAAATCTTTAGCTATCTAATCGAGAAATACAGTACTTTGAAATATACAGTATTTCAATTTTCAGTCTAGAAGCCTTGGCTCGTTTGATCTCCTCACCGGACACTCTTGTTATGGAAGGGGAACAAGATCTCTACAATATTATCAAAACGGTAAGAGTTTAAGAGAATCTTATTGTATTTTAATCTCTTAAATTTCGTTTACGTTTTGGTGAAAGAAAAAAACTCTTTTTTAACTTTTTTCTCTTTTTTAACTGGTGCCTGTTGAAAGTAGAAGCGCCGCTTATTCTATCAAAAAAATTACCGTAAACAATAGAAAATACTGTATTTTTTAAAAACGACAGTCTTTAATGAACCTAATGAAACTACAGTGGATCTATCTGAACCAAGGAGGTCAAATTCTGGACGATGAAACAGCGCACAGTGAGGCGCTAGAAGAATTCTTCCGGCGACACGACTCATCGAAAACGTTTGAGCCCTATTTGGCGCTTTGGAGTGGCATACGGTGGGCAATCGAGTTAGAAATTCCAAGTTACTATTGAATTTTGTTGAATTTTACAAAGATTAGTTTCAATTTTCAGCCTTCATCACCTCGTCACCTCGACGGCGAGCATGAAAATTTTGGAACTCGACAAGATTTACCCAAAACAGGTGAATATATAAAATAAGATTGTAACTGGAAATTCTTGAGCTTCAAGAGGATTCTAAAATTCAGATTCTGAAAGAAACGATTGTCGACACGTGGAAGTGTATGATTCGAAATGAAGAGGATCCAAAGCTGTGAGTGTTTTCTTTTATGGAATTTGGAGCTTTATCAAATCCGAAAAATCTTCTCTATCACACTTTTCTTATAATTATTCACACATCTCACAATTTTATGCATTAAAATGGAAATAGATGAATGCTCCAAATCCTAGTGGGATATCGATTACGAATTATGAGAGGGTTGTCTTACTTTATTGGAGAGTTGTGGGCCAAAGTAGGGGACATATCGTGGTTAGCATCAATTCCTCGCGTCTTGACCGCAGGTTGAGAAGGCGATTCTTGATTCGATGACGTTCTGGTCTCTGTGATCACAATATTACCCGGGGTCCCGTTCCCATTAAGAATTTTTCGTTTGACGACTTCAATTGATCCTTGTGTATTTGTTTGACTTTTCTTGGGTCGGCCTCTTTGTCGCTTTGGGGCTCCTTGATTTGGTACCACAATTGAAGAAGTTGATTGCATCAAGTTTTCACCAATGTCTTCCCATCCCTCTTGAGTCCATTTCTGTTGGATTCATCATTTCCATGTTTGCAACCGTGTTTTCTTTTATGGAATTTTGAGCTTTATCAAATCCGAAAAATTTCCTCTATCACACTTTTCTTACAATTATTCACACATCTCACAATTTTATGCATTAAAATGGAAATAGATGAATGCTCCAAATTCTAGTGGGCTATCGATTACGGACGATGTGTTCAACTTGTGCGCGCTGCGACAGGGACGCGTCGTTGACAGTGAGCCGGTGGGTAATCTGTTGTAATCTATCGTAATCTATCGTAATCTATCGTAATTTAGAACCTTTTCTTTGAATCTTACTTAATTTTGCTCCGTCAAAGTGCTCACTTTAGAAATGTTGGCGCTGGACCGGCTACAACAATGGGATCGATATTCTACTCAATTTCTCGCATGGGTTTGTTTGTTTAGTTTGTAAACGATTGATTTTTTTAAATATTTTATTAAATCTATCTAGCAGATTAGATAAAAATTTCAAAAATCGCTTAGAATTTTGACGATGAAGCGCAATTGTTTGACGCAATCGACGCCGTACTCGGTGAATATCAGCAGTGAGAGAAGTGTTCATCATAGGTAATGTAAAAATACTTAAATGTTAGATAAAAATACTATCCAACTATCCAACTATCCAAGAATTTCTTCAGAATAGTCTTCACCGATGCGAATGGAGCGCAAATTTTTGACACCGGTCGAAAACTTGTCAATCTTTCGCCGGATTTGGTTCGTTTTTTCTTGAAAAACAACTAGAAACTTTTTAATAATTTAAGTTTAAAATAGAACTTTAAAATAGAACTTTAAAATAATAACAAGTCATTTTTCTAGTCAATAACGGTAGCTCGTTTGGACAAGTACAAGCTGCCAATCTCCGTTCATCTCTTCTACCTTGTGCAACAACCATCACAGCCCGCTTTTTTGTAAGTCAACAACATCAACAGCAAATCGTTAACTTTACCCGATAATCGAAAATCATTTTTTTTACTTAATCCTTAAATTTATAGGTACATCAACAAATGGATTAAGAAGTGCGGAATAGGGAAAGTAAAGTACCCGATGGAGAGCGGCGACTCGTCGTGCACCTCATCGGATTGATTCAAAACACAAATCGAATCTCAAGCAAAGTATCTAATTAAACTAGTTTTCACATCAAGTACAGTACAATAAGTACAAAACGTACAGAATAGTAATAGTAATAGTAAACATAGTACTATTTATCTTATACATAGCATCTAGAGTCTCTGGATGATTTTTTGTGTAAACGCAAAGCCGTTAGTGTACCGAAATTTGCTCTTTTTCAAAGTAATTTTGATTTTTAAAAGGGGAATTCTATTGAATTCTCTATTGAATTTTCTGTAAAAACTTTAAAATTCGATATTCAGTGCATCAGATCGCATGCGTTTTCCCCATTGCCTTAAGAATTTCCTCTTCACTTTATTCTCCGCACGAATGTACATAGGAAATGTATGAATATTTTGTTTTTATTTAATTGTAAATACTTTTTAATATTAAATTTTCAAGTGCATTTCGATAAACATTCAGTCTTTCATTATTTTTGCGGTGAGATCAAAGCAAAAAAAAACGCCCCAATCCACGTGAGACGATGCAAAATGAAACGATTTTTACAGAAAATCAGCTCTTTTCCTGATTTCATCAAGATATCAAATTTACGACTTGAAACTCATAAATTTACGGGTAATCAAAAAGAATTGCAGATTGTTTTGATGCGAAAAATTTGGCGATTGTTGAATGAGCGGTTAGCCGGGTCAGCAAAATTCCCGTTTATGACACTAGATATCAGCTTTTAGACCCTTAGCCGTTATCTAGAAAACTTCTAACAACCGCCAATCGATTCTCCGTATCGGTTTACATAGAATAAATAAGCTAAAAAGCTGATTTAAAGCTTCTGGAGCGAGCTAGAGGAGCTCAAAGTTGGGTTGTCAAGACTTTTTTGCGTCTTTGCTCAACTTTGAGCCACTCTAGCTCTCTTCACAAGTTTCAAATCTGTTTTTAGCTGATATATTCTATGTAAACCGACACAGAGAATCGATTGGCGGTGACTAGAAGTTTTCTAGATAATGGTTAAAAACTAAACGAAAATTTAGTTCATTAAAGTCACTGGAACGGGGAACAATGTCCGGAATCACTTTGTAATCTTTCTGTTTAGTCGGAAGTTCGAAAAATTCGTGATTCATATGAAAGTTTCCTTCAAGAAATCACAAAAACACAAAAATATTTATGAGTTTGCCGGGGCAAAAACAAATGAATGTCAGAAATGAGGTGAAATCTCTTCTTGTTCTTGCTTATCTCCGATCTGAGAATCGGTTCTCCACACTCTTTTTTTCGAATCAAATCGAGATTTTTTTCTTATTGACGCAGTTGCCACGCTTTTTCTCAAGAAATGATTTTTGACTTTGAATTTTGAAACATATTTCTTTTCACTTGTAAATCTGATTGATCAATAAGGACAGGACTGAAAAAACTAGGCAAATTCTGCTAAAGCTGCACTTATTTTTGTTATTTTAAGATTAAAAAGTCGATTTTACCACTCGTAAAATTTTGTTGTTGAAAATTTTTCCTTTAAAATAAGCAACAATGTCAACATACCATTTTAAATTGATTTTTTCTTTCATTTCTAAAACTGAAACCTTTTCTGATTATCTTGATCTCTGATCTAGGCTTGACAAATCAATAACAATTAAAAAAAGCACAATCTCTGCTTAACTTTTTCGATTTTTTTAAAAAAGTAATCTTTTTGTTATTATATCTATTACAAAATCAAAAGCTCTAGATTAGACTTGTACACCTACCGTAAATACTGTAATAATACCCCACCCCCCTCGTACAGTCGCGTAGTCGCAAAAGTTTTTTCGTATTTCATTTTTTTCAAAGCGCCCGTACTTTCAAAAAATGCGTCTTTGGTATCAAAAAATAGCCCTGAATTTCAGCTATTTTTTGATACCTAACGCGCATTGTAGCATAAACCAGTGTCGAGAAAAACTCGTTCAAAGCTAGACTACGCATCACTCCGCACCGTCATTATGGGGGTGGGGCACTATCACAGTATTTACGGTAGTTGCTTTTAATCACAAGGTGCTCAAAGGTGCTTTATGGAAAATATCAAGCACAAGATGCTCAATAAAAACCAATAGATCACTAGGTTTTAAGCTCGTTTTGTACAAATCTAATGCTAAAAAGAAACAAACATATCAAACACATATACTTTAACAAGTTTAAGTCACTTTTTTTAGAATTCTAGCCTTTCGTGTTAATGTTTGTCTAGAAACTTGTGTGGAAAGCGCTCACTGTGGCACAGAAGTCGAATAAATTGAGATTTGTCACAAAATCTTGTTAAATTTTCTTGAAAGAATTAAAACGGAAATATAATTCCAAACTTTTTAATGTCTCATAAATTTAAAAACTGATAAATGGGGAAGAATTTCTTGTCATTAAACAAGAATAACTAGGTTTGATTCATTCAGAGAATTTAACACGTTGACGACATTGTCACCTGATGCTGTCTGACACACATTCGTTCGCCTGGGACATTGTCACCTGATGTCAGGTGACATTTTTTGTCGAAAAAAAACAACGTTGTCCCATGCGATTGTTTGTGCAAAAAACGCCATTGTCGTCAACGTGTTAACGATCGAGTTCCAATCAATCGGTTTTGCGCATACCGTATTTTCTCTAATAGTAGTGCACCCTGAGCTTTGTCTAAATTGATCGGAATCTCGAGAACTGCTTATCAGAACCTATCGATGTGGGGCGGAAAATGTAGCTGACGATGAGATCTAGTGGGGGATTCGAGTGTTGAGCTTCTGCAAAAGCTTGGAAACCGTAAAATAGTCATCAACTCGACTCGTCGCGGTGCACTACTATTAAAGAGAATACGGTAACAAATAAATAAAAAGTAAAACTAAGTGAACATTTTATGTTTATTTCAGTGCTTCCTTAATGATTTTTTACTTTTATAAATCGATTTTGAAAGCGCTCAAGCGCAAAAACAACGTTCAAGTTCACATAAATATTGAAGACACTGGAATCAACAGCAAGCCTCATACTTTTTCTAACTCTTTTGTATCTCCCTTTATTGAATGCTACTTAATCTACTCAAAAACTTGCTATAAATCATTTGAAAAATGGCTCAAAACACAGATTTTTATCTAGTTGAGGGAAATCGGTGATGACAGAGGAGATCGTTCAAAGAGAAATTTCGTTTTTACTCGTTCTCATTCCATACAGAACTTGCTGTACCTCAAAAGAACAAAATTTTCAAGTTCAAGTTTAAGTCTAGGATGAGAATCTAGGAATTTCACTGACTAGCTTTTAAATAAAATCTATTCTATTGGCTAAGAAGTTAGTCCTCAAAAAGTTGACCAGTTACTCTTACTTACAGTTGCTCTTACTTACAGTTACTCTTACTTACAGTTACTCTTACTTACAGTTACTCTTACTAGTTACTCTTACTTACAGTTACTCTTACTTACAGTTACTCTTACTAACTTTTTCTAGAAGTCATTTTCTTTTCTCTCTTGATTTAAAACTAGTTTTCTATTCTAAAGTAAATGCAAAAACTGGGAACTTTAAAGATTTTAAATGATACTGAAAAATGATAGGTTTTTTTAAGAATTAAAAATTGTACCCAGGAAAGCTTCTATTATAATCTAGGATCGGTCGGTTCGGTCGGTTCAAAGATTGACGAATTCTCGCAGTCATTTATCTTTCTTTTATCTATTTGAACAAGTTTTTCTCGGGAAAAGAAGAGAATGAAAGAATTCTTGCTTCACTCCCACACCCACATTTTGTCAAATTCTTGTATTTCTTCTCAAAAATCACTTCCTCTTTTTAATCTTTGACTCTTTCAAAAAAAGTTTTACAAAATTTTTCCAATTAAATTTAGTGTGTGGACAAACAGGTTGTGTTCAAGGACAGCTTTTTAGTTGAACGAGTTTGTTTTCTTTTGATCGATTCAAATTTGATTCTTCAATTCAACTTTAAAACTTTGACTTTAAAATATAGATAACCATTGTAGATTTAAAATATAGATAACTCAACTCCATTGTTGGTTTAGATATAATCTTTATTACAGCGATAATAGTTGGTTCAAGTGGTTTGAGATTGGGAGAGTAGAGGCACTCCACGGCACACCTCGGCAGCTCGTTCACATTGCTTTTATACGGAACTCAGGCGTTGGTCTCGTCTTGCACACAATGGAGTTGAACGGATAGCGACGCATATTAAATCTCGCACAATAGGCGTTCGTCCACGTCCCTAGCTGGCCATTTCCATACGTGGCGATCTCGATCACGAGGTCGTCACGACAACCGACGTAGATTCTAATGAAAGTCATCAGGAGTCGATTCAGCTTTTACATTTTGAGTTATAGACCTTTTAAAGGGATCCATCCTTTCAGGTAAGTAGTCCAACTTTGAGTAAAGTTTTCTCTATGTTTTTATATTAAAGTATACTAAGGAAGTTGTGGTTTTCTATAACCGAACTTCATAAGAAACTTTTTAAGACTAACTACAAATTGATCGGTCAATTGGAAGTTGAGATATGGGGCAGAAGAGAAGGGTCGTCAAACTCCGACTCTCTATCCTCCCCTAGACAAATGTCTAGGGGGGGTAGGCACTTATCCCGACTTTGATCCTGATTTGCTCTATGTTTTTACCGGTAATTGATTTTTCCTTTCATTTCTAAAACTGAAACCTTTTCTGATTATCTTGATCTCTGATCTAGACTTGACAAATCAATAACAATTTAAAAAAAGCACGATCTCTGCTTAAATTTGGTTGAAGTCGTAAAATTTGAATAAAACTAGAGACTTTTGATAAACAAGTCTACTTTTGATAAAAGATACTTTTGATAAAAGAGACTTTTGATAAACAAGTCTCTTTTAATCTCAACTTTTCTTAATTTTCTTAATTTTCTTTGTTTTGTCTTTTAAGAACAATCCTGGTTTTGCTCTGTTTTTGTATTTGAAAGAAAAGGTAACTTTTCTTCAAGTAACTTCAATAACTAGTTTATCAAGATTGATACTGGTTTTCTTAAGAATCTATCCCACTTCTACCATTCTTTATTTAATCAAAGCTTTTTTTTACTGTTTTCTATGACATTTTGAATTTCTAGTCTCAACAAACAGGTTTTCTAACTGGTCGATGACGCAGTCTGCTTTTCTAAATGTTCTAACTCTAAGAAACCGGTCCATAGCTCAAATCTGAACTGATCTTTCATTTAAACTAAAGGATTGGGTTTCAAAATTTTTAAAACTTTAAGAGTATAAACGATGTAGCTAGCAGAGGTAATCTTTATAAACTGTGACTACAAAATGCTGGCTAATCCCAAGCTTAGACCAAGCCTTTGCTGAAATTAGTCACAAAATATAATCTGTACCTATTTCTACCCCGGATTTTTGCTTTAAACATCCTTGAGTTATCTATTCTTAATTCTTAATCTTAGCTAATATTGCTTTTCACAGAAAATGATCATTGATCTCTCAAGAACCCATGACTTTTCCGAATCTAAAAGAGCTAAAACCTTTTCTCTTCCGAACTATCCCTCTTTTCAATCAGAGAAGTAAAAAAGAGCGGTCAAAGCAAAGAAAACACTGTTTACTATCGATTTTATTCCCGATTCGTGTCTGATTCTTTTCCCGTCACGTTTTTTTTCGATTATTGGAAAAGTGATAAAATTTTTCGCTGTCTTTTCTTTACATATAAATATTGTATTGAAAGCTTAGCTGTTTGCTGTTCTTTACTGTTCTTTACATAGAAATATTGTATTGAAAGCTGATCTTGAACAGGGTTGTTTTAAAAGTCATTGTCATTGGCAAAACTTTTAAAACAACCCTGTTCAAGATCAAGATCTAAGCTTTCAATTTTTCTAGGGCAGTATAGGTAAAGCCAGGGAAGAAAGGCCAGGCTCAAGGCTGGATTCTGTTCAAAGCAAGATTTTTTATGAGCAAGCCCGGTGCAGAACCAGGCTAGAAACCAGGCCAAACTTGGAAAACTCGAGAAATTTCTAGGCAAAACTTCAAGTTAAGTCAATGATTTTTTACTTAATTTCCATAAATTTCAGGTAAAACCAAGATTTTAGGTCAATCCAACGGTAAGCTTGAAATTGAAAGGTCAATTGAAAGCTTTTTTTAACATAGTAAACGTAGAATTTAAAAATTCAACCAATTTCTAACATTCTTTACTTTAGAGATATGTATTTTCCCCCTTAAATTCAATTCCATTCATTGCATTCAACTTTTCAATCAATCAAAATTGTTATCAGTTTGTCAGTAATCGAGTTTTTTTTGCATTTGGTGGCTGTAATTTTGTCGTGGCTCATGTAATTTTGCTATTAATAAAAAAATTGATATTTTGATTGATTTTGATTGATTGATCATCTAAAAAAGCTGTCTAATTTTTTGTTTTGAGAATTTCAAAATAATAATATCATTGGGAAAGGAAGGCACAATCAAATTCTCTGTGCTAAAAACTTTAAACGCTCCTCTCAATTCTCAATCCTCTCCTCCTCTCAACGCTCCTGTACTCGATTCTTTCCTTCAACCATACATTTCTCTATCTTCTGATTCGTTTTCGATTCCAGGTGGATGTCCGATGACCACCGGTATCTATGCCTTCTTCTATTTGTATATCTTCTCTTCGATCATTCTCTATTTTGTCTCCGGCGCTCTCCTCATCGCCATGATCGTCCAGATTAGATTACGCGAGAAGTACTCCGTTTTCGCTGGTTTGTTTTTGGGAAAAGGATACATAAAAAGAAAGCTAACTATCGTAATTCTTCCAATAAACGGCCAACCCTTCCAATTCTTCCAATTCCAATTAACTATCGTTTCAATAGACGGTCACCTCCTTGGCAAAAATTATCATTTTCTCAGATCTGCCAACTTTCATCCCGAGTTTCTAAGATTTTTCTAGATTTTTGAAATCGTTTTAAGTGATAGATAATCTTAATGGACATCATAAGCCAACCCATTTTTGTTAACACTAATTTTAAGCTCTTGAAAATGGGAAAATCTCGGCTTACGGTAGTGGATTTAAAAAATAAAGAATTTTCAAGAGACGGTCATGGCTATCTATTGGAATAAGATGTTTTCTAAAACGTGAGAATTTTAGGGAAGCGACGGTAATCTTGTCATAAAGATGAGTCTAGGGGAAACTGCTGTAATCTTGTCGTAGCTCTAGATATTACTTGTCTCTTTCAATGTCCTTTTTAAAGCCTTACAGAGTCAATCGAAATAGAAAGATCGGAGAACTAGAGATAAGGCAACGATTTTTAAAGCTATGGCTTATAAGACAAGGCTTGTAGTTTATGAAAGTTGATAAGTTTTAGAAAACGATTTACTTTGAGTAGCATTCATAACAAAAACAAGCATTTAATTTTAGTCAAATTTCTGATCGATCTCGTGACCGCCTCTTGCCTGTTGGCGATGGCGTTTCTCGATAAATCGGTAAGCATTTACAATAGTTTTCTAAAAAGGTGCCTTTTAGAAAACAATTCGAAAGGTACTTGTAGATTTGGTTTTAACAATAAACAACAAACAATAACAATAAAGCAATTTCAGGCAGACAACACCCAATGTGGCATTGTACAAGTGATCTCGGCGAGTGTGCCTCTTGTACAGGTAAAAAGAAAAGCTATTCAAAAGAAAAGCCTACCTTATTTTCTAGCATAAGCAATACCTTAGGCATCTTTGAGAATCCTAAAACTTAATCGATCTCGATTTGGCATAGAATGCTGATGATTTTCTCAACTTTTCCAATAACTTGTTCATCATTTCCAATATTTCTATCTCCAATATTTCATTTCCAATATTTCTAGTGTCTCTTGTTAATGTGCGAAGTGATCGATTGGTCATTGGCCGCGTTTTCACCAATCTATTTTCATCAATCTTCGTTGATTTGCAGGTTATAAAGCTTAAAGTAAAGCTTAAAGTAAAGCCAGTCTTAAAGTAAAGCTGAAAGTGTTCCCTCTCAAAACCTAATCTTTCGTAACACACATCATTCAGAATATTGCCATTTTTGATCGGTGCCCTTTTCTCTGTGATCATTATGGCTTGTCTTGTCATCATCGATTTGGATACAGAGGGAGAATGCGTGGAATCGTCGAATACAGGTGTTAATAGAAAAAGAGCCGTCACGCTTTAAACCCCTATAACTTTATCTAGAGACAATATTATTTCTAACTTTTTATATCATTGTATAGAAGGCATTTCAAGCTTTCGAATGACACCAAATACAGCTTGATTGGATAATCCAGTCAAGGAAAATCAAAGCCAACGCTAAGCAAACAAGATCGATCCAACTGTCATGGTTTTCAACGGTTTTCATGGAAATGCAAAAATGCAATCAAAGTGTATTTGGTGTCATTCGAAAGGCTGAAATGTGTTCTATACAATGATCTAAAAAAAACTTAGCAATTCTCACCGCTTACGACATGACATTGATCTTGGCGTTGGCGTGCGCGATTGCACTTGGCGTGCTTCTCAAAAAGCAACTCAACTCAGCCTTTTTTCGACCAGTTGTCGTAGGTTTTTAGCATCAAAATTAGCCGAAAGTCGATGTGAATAAAATTCTTTGAAATTTTGAATCAAAAGCTTTCAGTTTCATTTTGTGGCAACAACTCTCTTATTGATCACTCCAATCATCGTCATCGTTATTATTCGGTAAATGGCTATTCACTGGCAAAATTATTAGTAGTTATTGGTCGTTATTGATTTTTCAGTTACGTTCACTTAACAAAATCACATGTGGCTTGTGATATCGCAAATTTGTTGGTTTTTGTGCATTCAGTCGCACATTCTTCGTATTTTGTCTACAATCATGAGGATGTTCGGGTATGTTGATCTTTTTCCTCTAATCTGGCAATTTCATATCTAAAGTTTACAAGATTTTACAGCCGAAAGGTCAATTCTAAGTTTTGCTGACCATTAAATTGCAAAAGTAAGTATGAGTTGACCGACTTATAGATCTAGATTAGCACCAGAACCAAACCAGAACTGGTCTATGAGTTAGGTGGAGGCTAGAAATGCTTGTAAGCTAGGCCGATGTTGGGGCTGTCATTTGAGCCAAGCTAGGGACTCGAAAATAGATTTTATAGCCATAGGAATAAAGATTATAGTATTAATGCGTATTTAAAGAGATTAAATAAACAAAATGAAAGATGAAATCCGAAAAACTATTAGGTTGACCCATAAGTCTTTCGACCCTTCATTTAAAAAGCCATTAGGTACTTGCAAAAGAAGCTGCGGATCATAAAAACCATCGTACAAGGGCTGTAAGTAAAGATGAGCCGGGTTGATTGGTATTTTTAGAAACCCCAATATCTCGTTTTAACGAAATAAAAAGAATTTTACGAAATTTGTTCCGAGGTGCAAACTCGGATAGTCAAAAAGAGCAACGACTCAATTACGCGATTTAGACACTTTGGTCATAAGAAACCGATCTGGGTGTCAATAGAAAAAAGAAAGAGTGCAAAAAGTTACGTTTATAGCCAAATTTTCAAATTAAGCTAGGCCAAAGTTGGGGCTGTCCTTTGAGCCAAGCTAGGGACTCGAAAATAGATTTTATAGCCATGGAAATAAAGATTGAATACGCATTAATACTGGAAACAGATTAAATAAACAAAATGAAAGATGAAATCCAATTCAGCAAGGCCTTAAAGCAACTTTTTGTCAATTCCGAGTGCTGACCGCGATTCGTCAAAACTCTTGCGTTTCGTAAATTCGTAAAATTTTTATGGCTCAACTTTGACAAAAAATTTTTTTCTGAAAACTGAGCAAATTGCAGATTTTTTCTTTGATCTCTTTTTCTTTTTATATAGAAATTTTCTTGTTTGGGTGAAATACGGGTTGTCTTTCTTTTTTTTTTTTAAACTATAAAAAAAAAGAGTTTTATAAGAGAATTTGATCAACTACGTATATGTATTTTCTGATCTTTTTCTGTTTCTGATTTGATCAACTATTCTGAAATTATTTCAATCAATGAGATTTATGAAAATAAATATTTAAACTATTAAAGCTCACTTGTTTTCAGAAAACAGGGGGTAGGCTAATTTCCGCAATTTTTTTTTGCGCAACTCGCCATAACTTTTTTTCTAAGTAAGCCAATCTTTATGATTTTAGTGTCATTTTGTTGCACTTATTGAGATCTACAAAATAAAACCAAAATCATAAAGATTGATCCACTTTGAAGAAAGTTATGGGGAGTTGCGCTAATGACCCAGTTGTGCAGACGACCCTGTTGCCCAAAAAAATACGGAAATTAGCCTACTCCGAAAACAGATCATTTCAACAATAAAAATAAAGATAATCAGTTTTCAGTTTTAAAAACAAAATTTGTATCCATCACCGGCTCGAATGTCGATCGAAGAGATTTCAAAGCGAGCGGCTCCAAATTGATCAGCCTGGAGAAGTTTTATTAAAAGTATTTTAGACGTACAGTCGCGTAGTCGTTACTGTTTTCCTAATAATGAAGAAAAGCTAAAAACTGAGCTTTAGCGAGTTTTTCGAAAGATACAATACCTTGTGAAAGGTTAAAAGAACCACACTTACAAAAAGGTGCTCATTTTGAAAGGTTAGATAAGAATTTGTACTTAAAATAGTTGCTTTTTTTGTAGTTTTAGATATTTTATAATTTATTTATTAAAATCTAATTTAAAAACTTGTGACTCCACCCACCTTATCATGGAAAAACACAAGAGAAAACTGATGAACCGACTCGTCTAGTGGAAACTCGACTTTTCGCGGTGATGCGGTTAAGACTCTGAAAGTTCTTTTACTCAAGACTGAGCTTGTAAATTGGTACTATACAATTGTACAATATAGTACTATTGGTGTACTATATTGTACTATATTCAAATCTAAAATCAACCTTGGTCCCAACAATTCGTGGCAGTTGTCCGAGTCGGCATCCGCATCAGCACAAAGGAGCACCCGGGAGCCGAAAGTGAACTGGAAAAGGGTGCAAATTTTGGTATTAATGTAATTTCTATGCAAGCTTTATGGTAAATAGATAGATTTATCTAGAATTGAGTACACTTAACACTTAACTGATAAGAAAGAGCCCTGAAACTGATTCCGATTAGGCTGTTTGACCAGGCTCAATCAATGGTTTGTTATTATTGATCCATAAAAACGTTATTATCCAGATTTCTAGATTTCTAGATACTAAGAATATTGTCTAAATATTTTAGCTATCAAGCTATCTAGCAACCTAGCAATCTAGCTATCAAGCTATCTAGATATCTAGCTATCAAGCTATCTAGATATCAAGCTATCTAGATATCAAGCTATCTAGATATCTAGCTATCAAGCTATCTAGCTATCTAGCTATCTAGCAATCTAGCAATCTAGCAATCTAGCTATGTTGTGTTGCTAAACTTCAAAGCAAAATTCATAACAATATCAATCAATCCTGTGAAATACTATCTAAAGCTGAATATCTAAAAATTGTTTAAAGAATGACTAGCTTTACTTGCGTGACATCGATGATGAGTGTGGCTGGGGCAGGTAAATCAAAATATGATGAGCGAAGGACGCATCGTTTTGCGTCATGGCCAGCGATTGTGCAGACACCGCCTGTAAATATTCTCGAGTAATATTTTAAATTCAAATTTCAATAATTACAAGATTTTAAAGAAAAGCTTAAATGTACCTAAATTTATTAAGATATAATAAAATAAAATTATTAAAAAGGAACCATTCGTCCCGATGAGCAATTCCCGGTCACCAGTCTCCATTGTCGACTCGTAATTGCATGTGTGCTCTAGGAATTTGTTTTTATTAGACTAATAATATAGAAATGTTTACGTAAAAAGATATTAAAAAGATAAAAATATTAATTAAAAAGGTATTTAGCTAATATTTTTATCTAAATTTACCCTTAAAATCGCATTTTATTCGATCACACAAAATTTGTTCGACAGTTCGAAGTGGGCAAATGTCACCTTCAACCTGGAATTGTTTAGATTGCTTTAGATTTATTTAGAAATTGTTTTTAAATGCTAATTTTTTTGATATCTAAAGTTTAGATCGAAATAAATGAGTCACTTTTTTCGAAAAGCTCATTTTTTTTCACCTCAATAGATGAGATGACGATGATAGCGTTTTTTTTGGACGAGGCTTCGATGATTATCTAAAGATTGAATTGCAGTAGATATTAGGGCTACAGTAGACACAAAATATCCATAATAAAACAAAAAAACGTTATTCATTTCACCTCAAAAGGCTTCTCTGAAGAGATTTGAACTTGAAGCGTTCCGTTCAACTTTTTCCCCTCCATGCATTGACCAAGAGCGCAAACGCGAAGGAAACCGAATTGAGATCTGAATTTGGGAATAAGATTTTCGAATAAATCATTTAATTTCTAAATGATCAACTCTATTGACTTATTTATTTTTATTGGTATTGTGATTCTTTAACGATTCTGAAGATAGCACTGCTTTTAATATAGACTTCAAAAAAATACATGCTTTAGAAGCCCTCTTCCTTCATAAGATACCTTTTTCCCTCCCCCAATGTACCTTCATGGCATAATGGATAACGTATTAGACTCCAGCTCACAGGATCGGGGTTCAGTCCCTGGTGCAGCTTTTTTTCTAGCAACATCTTGCAGCTGATTACATTATGGCAAGATTTACATAATTGCACTGACTATCTTTGAACTTTTACTTCTTTTTCACACCTCATATAATGAATGGTGATAAGAGAGTTGTATGCACATGGGACTTCTCGAGATCGAATCGACGACGCGTCTTTCCCTTTCAACATCAACACCGCTACATTGCCTAAAAAGTTTTTGTATTTACCATTATTCAAATCCTCTAACCGTTGATTTGTTTAGGTAATGGAAAATCTTCGAGAGTTTGTGGAACGGCTCCATATTGAAGTTTCCCGTCATCGTTCACCCTGAAAGCATTTAGTTCAACTTTTTACTATTAAGTCCAAACCATTGATTGCAATGATCAATTGTGAAGTCGCACTCCAAAGATAAGCGATACTCATTGGCTCCTAATAATGGTTTCGGTTGAAGGCCGAACATGTGAGCAACCTGGGAAAGCATTAGATTCATTTGATTAGATGACTCTAAATCTATTTTCTTGTAAAGCCAACCGTTGGTGGATCGATTGTAGTTGGGATTGGTGGCGGATGTTCGATGCAAAGCTGGCCACCGATGAATTTCAGCTCATCCACTACGACGAGTCCCATCGAATTCGCGTCGAAAGCGATCAGATCGATTGTAAACTGAGAATTGAGATAACTTTGAGTTGGCATGTTCTATTTGAAAAAGTTATGACTTTCTTAGGTCCAATTTTTTAACTTTTAAAATTTAATGATTTTGAGTGCAAGATTTACAGTATTGACGTACTCGAAACGGTTTCATATACGGTTCGATGTCGATTTGGATTGGCCCAGGCGAGTCCTCTTCACTTAAATATGCGCACGACAGGGGAACCTTAAGGATTACTGAAGTCTGACATGAAAATGGCACTTACATCATTCTCATCAACTGAGCAAACCTCGACTTGAGTGCCGGCACGGAGCCAGTATCTGAAAAAGATCAGTAAATTGAAAAGAGTAGACTGTAGTCAGTTTCGCAAGACATCAGTGTTAGAATATGCGATTGCAAAACTGGATAGGTTGTCAGTTGTTACCTGAATGAAAGAGTGGCCAGCTTTGATGTACAAGGAATGAGCTGACTTCTCAGCGTTCCATACGGTTTCGGAGTCAATGGATCAACAGCCATGAAAAGGAAAGATTTTGTCGGTTTCGTCGTGGATCTTGATGCCTGAATAGCAAGGTAATAAAGGAAATAATCTCAAGAATTTGGCCGGTTGGCTAAGGCTTGATTGTCCCTGTATCTTAATCGGGAGGTCGAGGGCTCGATCCCGATTATTGGTTTTAAAATTGAACAGCCAGATTTGATTGTCTAAGCTTTTTGGCTGAATGGCTCTGGAGCACTGGATGTCTCGTTAGTGCGGAGTGCGATAGAAAGTTTACTGTACTTGATTACTCTTTATCATTTTAGTGAACAAATTTCAAATCCAACTCTCACCTCAGTCAATTCATACCACCGATCAGTGTCCTGTCCGATTCGCCACTCAGAAGCCGTTGAATAAGCATTTGTCCATCGGAAAATTGTAAAGATTTAAAGAAAAATAATATTTTACCGACATCCCTTAATCGGATCGATACACTCAACATCTTTCAAAGCAGATGGATGAGCTCGTGGACGGGGTTTCAAAGGAACAGAGTTGAATAGAAGTGGGAAAGCTGAACTTACAAATTTTAAAAGATAATTTTAAACTTTTCATAGAAAGATTTCATCAGAGTAAAGTTTTTTTCATTACAATTTGTTTTATCTTTGATCAGTACTTGTTAGTAACCCGTTAGACAAGCAAGAACATAAGTTTCATGACAAATTTCTCAAATTTCTTTATACATTATATAATTTAACTTAATTCTATTTTAAGCTTCAAAATCTCACGCGACTCATTGCACAAATCAGCTTTGACGGTGATATTGTTGATAAGCACCATTGATCCAACCGTATTGTCGCGAAGGTTAAAAGCTCTAAATATCTTTTTCGATTTAGTTTAGATATCTTTCTCTTGTAGAATTTGTCTATATGTAAATAATTTCATGATTTCTATACCGAATGGCCAATCGATACGGCTGTTTGACAGCGGGGATCAACGCCGAACAGACATGACCGCTCTCCTTCAGGAAATGACAATCCGCTTTGCCGCGTTCGATTACCTAAAGAAAATAATTATAAAATAGTTATAAAATTTCTATAAAATAGTTATTCATCTAAAATCTAAAACTTTCAACCAAAAAAAAACAAGTAAAATGTTGAATTTTAAAGTTCAAGCGGTACTTTATGCTTAAGAATACTTTGTGCTCAAAACAAACCCTTGCTCTTAATTTTGTGTGCCAGATCGGGTATGTTTTCACAAAGATATGTACAAAGTACTTTACTGTCTATGTCTATGAAAAGTTACCTTAGATAAGTAAATAGTATCTTGAGGTGGAACAAAACCGAGAACACTCACTTTCTGATAGAAAAGTCGAAAATTTAGTTGGAAAGGAAACGTTTCCAAGTTAGAGTACAAAGTACATCTACTTACCATCAAATGTCCTCTCCTTGGCTCCGGTCTCACCGCCATCACCTCGACACGGCCGAGATTGTACAGCCAATAGCTGTAATGAACTGGTTTGACTTGAACATACCGTATATCTGTCTGTCTGTCTGTCTGTCTTTTGATAAAGATTTCAAAAGCTTTTTTACTTGAAAGTGATATTTGCCATCCCGTGATGACATGCCAATGGAGCGCTGAGAAGAACAGCTGATTGCGCGAGTTTTGTCGTGTTTCCAGCTATCATGAATCTTGTGCCTAAACAAGTGAATCATTATTTTTCGTTTTAGCAATATTTATCAATATTTTAATACAAATTTACTAATATTCTTTCCATTTTACATACCAATTTGCAAATTCGCGTTCCCTGGTTGCACTTGAACCGGGAAAACTTTCTCATCGTTTTTCTTGAACAACCAGAACTCGGATGTGTCCAATAAACCGTCGGAATCCGCGTTTTTCCATAAACATTCTCTCTAGAATTGAAAGTATAACAAAATTTTAGCTTTTTGAAAAAGTCTTGATCACTTTTTCTTGTAGATATGCTTAGGAATGACTAATTCAACAATTGATCTACGATTTTCCCCAAATAAAAGATGTTTAGTATTCATTTTTCACTCATTTCAAGTCGATTTGGGTAAATTTCCAAGTAAATTCAAGTACAAAAACTAGTTTTATCGCATAATTCGAGAAAAACTTCTATAAAAGAAATCGGCTGAACAGATTGTTCTGAAAATTTGGCTATATACCAAACTTCTTGAGCTCTATCTTTTTTCTATTCTAACATAGATTTCTGTGAACGAAAATGTCTAGATCGTCTTTAAGCCAATGAGCAAATGAATCATAAAGACTTGGAAATCGCAATCCAGCTGCCGATCCTCTTTCACATATTCGGCGAATTCAGGTGGTGTCTTTTTAAGGATTTCCCCTTGATTCTCAGGTCGAATACCCAAGTAGAGATCCAGATATCTGAATTGATATTTGTATTTGAGTTCTTATTTGAGTTCGAAAGTTTTTTTATTGGAAACAAAGTTAAATCCTCGATTTTTCCCGAAGCTTAGACGATCTTGTAAAGAATTTCACAAATCTCACTGAAAACCGACATTCCCAGACATATTTCAAATAAGAATTTCGTCTAATATCTGAATATCAAAATACTTATTAGAATTAGTAAAGAGCTGATACTTTTTTTGATTACAGAACCAGTTGCTTCAATGAAATATTTAGAAAGCTTTGTTCAACTGAAAACCTTTAGTTTAATCAGTTATTCTTTTTCAATATATACTGTAATAACAAATAATAGATTATTAAAAAAGATATTCATTTAAAGGCAGATCATTGAGATAGTCTACCGTAGCTCCTTTTCAAACTGTGGATGACATGCTTGTGCCAAAGAAATCCAAACAACAGTAATAAATAAAATCATAGTTCTAGAATCAAGAAAATGATAAGAAATGGATAAGGAAAAGATTTCTTTTTTATGTCATTTTGAGGGAAAACGACCGGTTCTTTTGTGACATAAGAGCTTTTTTTTGCGTTGTTTCAGAAAATCACCTTTAGCTTTCTCTGCGTTTCACTTTATTCCTACCTTTGATTATTTCACTTTCTCTTCGTGCTTTCATTGAGAAAAGGGAAATAAAACGAAAAAGACTTGAAAAATAAGTTTTTTTTGTTTATTTTATGTTTAAAGCTGAAAATCTATCAAAATTTTACTTCGCTATAAGATAAAAAATGTAAAAAGATTTGAACCGCTTTTCAGGGGCGGAATCAGCATAAAATTTCCTATCCTAACAAAAAAAAGTGCATCCCGAATTTCGCTCTGGGCGCCGAGTTAGGTGCCTGTGACAGACGGACACTTCTCTTTTATATATAGTAGATTTTTTAAGGAATCGCTACTCCGCAGACACAAAACAGCATGGCTCGCGTTCAAGGAAGCGCCCTTGCGGGTAATTTTTAACCTTTAAGAGCGGTAATTAATCAATTATAAGGTAAAAGTTTGCCTAAAGGTTCTGGAGAAATTGATATGGAATATTGTATAATTCATTAGGATTAAAGAGCATCTTTTGAATTTGACTCTAAAATTTCCATTAGCTGGCGTTTTCATTTTCTTTTCTAAACTCGTCCAGGACGGTTCTATATTTTTTATTCGCTAGACATGCCCAAATCGCTCCGGAATTTGTCAAAAGGTGACAAGGTAATGAGAGAAGTATTTTAGAATCTAAAGAATCTGTTTAGTTGCCGTTGCCAATCCCACGACGGGTTCTTCCACGCAAAGCGTCGCACCTGTGACAGCAATTGGACCAACGGATTCTATGGATTGTAGTGCAGAGGTAAATCATTTCATCTATTGACCATTTTATTCTGTTTACCTAGGTTTTATCTGCCTTTGAATGTCCGGTCTGCCTCGAATACATGCTTCCACCCTATTTGCAATGCCAAAGCGGACATCTTGTTTGTGGGAACTGTCGACCGAAGCTACAGTGTTGCCCAACATGCCGCGGCCCTACACGTAAAGTTTTTATTTAGTACAAGACAAATTAAAAGTTTGGCAAGCATCCGAAATCTTAGACTTGAGAAGATTGCAAACACGGTGAAGTTTCCCTGCAAGTTCAGCAATTCTGGATGTGGATCGATATTTCATCATTACGATAAAGTGGACCACGAAGAGACGTGCGAGTTCAGGTAAGTGTTTACTTTGAAGATGACGTATAAAGTACGTAAATAATATGTAACAATTTGTTCTTTACAGACCCTACAGCTGCCCTTGCCCTGGTGCGTCGTGCAGGTTAGTTTGTTTGAGTTTTTGGTAAACTAATAGATAAATTTTTAGATGGCAAGGAGCTCTTCAAGAAGTGATGCCACATTTAATGAAAATCCGTAAGAGTATTACGACTTTACAAGATATGTTTTAAGTGATAAATGTAAATAATGTTTTCTTTAGGCGAGGATATTGTCTTTTTGGCTACTGACATCAATTTACCGGATGGAGTTGATTGGGTCATGATGCAGGTTAGCTTTGATTTGCAACAATAAACTAAAAATTTTTAGAGCTGTTTTGGATATCACTTTATGCTAGTACTCGGGAAGCGGGTATGGCTGAACTTTGACTTCCAGACTCCTTGTTTCAGGAAAAGTTCGAGCAATCGCAGCAAATTTTTGTGCCGTTGTTCAACTGATTGGAGCCAAAAAAGAAGCGGGAAACTTTATGTACAGGTATTAAGAAACTTTAACGAACAAAGCACTGGAGTATTTAGACTTGAATTGTCAACTCAGCGTCGTCGCCTTTTATGGGAAACCCAGATAAATACGGTAATAGATTCTAATAGCGCATGCGCTTCTATTAGAGAAACCCTTAAGCCTCGCCCACTCACGTGAGGAGAAAAAGTTGCACGAAAAATTCAATTTTTAACCTATGCGATGAGTTTGGTGTCAAAAGAAAGAGAATTTTTTAGAGAAGAAAGAGAATCGAATTGGACGTTTTTCTTTACAGGAAAACAAAATCGCGGATGATAAGATGTGCAACTGTGTCGCCGGGACGCAAAAATCGACTTCACGAAGCAACTTCGGACCACGTCGAAAGGAAAGAGTAAGCTTTTAATGATTTTTTTTTATTTGAGTGATAGGCAAAACTATTAGGTTGACCCATAAGTCTTTCGGCCCCTCATTTAAAAAACCATTAGGTACTTGCAAAAGAAGCTGCGGATCATAAAAGCCATCGTACAAGGGCTGTAAGTAAAGATGAGCCGGGTTGATTAGTATTTTTAAAAACCCCAATATCTCGTTCTAACAAAATAAAAAGAATTTTACGAAATTTGTTCCGAGGGGCAAACTCGGATAGTCAAAAAGAGCAACGACTCAATTACGCGATTCAGACACTTTGGTCATAAGAAACCGATCTGGGTGTCAATAGAAAAAAGAAAGAGTGCAAAAAGTTACGTTTATAGCCAATCTATTTCAGAACAATCTATTTAGCCGATTCCTCGATCTCACCTTTTATCAAGTTTGACGAAAAACTAGTTTTTCCACTTGCTTCAAAATGGACCTAAATTGTTTTAAAAAGATAACAAAATGAATCATAAATATTTTCAATTTAGAGCTAATTGTAGGGCAATTGGTGAATTTGTCATTTATAAATGCTAGCAGAAAAAAGTGTCCAAAGATTTATCTGCCTAATATCACGAATTTCTTTGTAAAAGCTAAATTAAAGTATATTGTGCATTTTAGGAAGCCAAGAAAGATGGCGAAGCAAGTAAACTAGTGGCTTCAGGTACCGCATTGACCACATTGCAAAACAACCATTGTTCTTCCTGTTGTCATTTTTTTCACTACAAAAAGGCGCTCATTTTTACTCTAGGTTTTTTACATTTCTTATTGCTGGTTCATAATGAGATCCGAGATCCATATTAAATAAATACAACAATCACTATCTGTTTCGTTTATTGTGATTAGTAGTATTCTACCATTTCTAGAAGAGCCCATTCCCCCAATTTCCACGTCTCGTTGTTTAACTTCTTTTTCAGATTTATTTTCATTATAAAAACACCCATGATTTGATGGGATTTTTTAATGGGGGATTAGGACAAATCAAAACAAAATTTTATTAATCAGAAAAGTTACATGGAATGGTAGCACAAATTGCCTTAAGAACGTTCTGTTGCTCAGTTGTATAACCCCGGCCTGAGATCTCAAGTCCATCGCTCGCATCAGATGATTGTCTATCGGCGGAAGCATGGGAGAGAATCTCGTCAACTATCTTTGCAACTCGCTCATCAGTGGACCGACGAAAGTAAGAACAAACTTCAACGGAGAATGTGGGATCATTCGCGAAAATCCATTTCCATCGGCCGTGTTGAGTACCCCGTTTGACAGCATCCGGCATCAGAGTGAAATAATGTTTTCTAAAATTTAAGAAATTAAATTTTATAGAATCTAAATACAATTGCTAAGGTCTTAAAAGCTATACTATAAGAACTCAAATGTCAAATCTTTCATAGCCTCTAGAAAGAAGCATGAGTTTAGTAGGGCTTAGATTATAATATTTGAAAAAGATGAAAAAGTAATCAGAAAAGTTCACAAACCTTTCAAGCCACTCGATAACACCTCTAGCACTTAGCTCTGACTGGGATCGAAGGCGTTCATCATTGACATGTTTCTAGAATATTGACATTTTATCAAGAATTAGTACTATGGCCACTTTTTTTGAAACGACTTTTTCTGGGGTAGTTTTATGCGTAGATTCCGAAAAACACAACGAGAGCTTGTGCAAATGCGTTTTAAGTCGAGTTTCAGGGCTCCAAAGTGCGCGCTCATACAGTGTGATGAGAGGGATAGACATAGGGAGGAGGTCTCTCAAAACATTTTTTGAAGCCAAAAACACTTCTTCTGGCATACCTAGAGACTTTAACCTAGAGATTACGTTTCTGATTTGAGCAAAATAAAAAAAATTTGTTTCCAAATTTTGACCATGTGGTCCCCACATGAGTCAAAATCTCAGAAATTTTTTCAATTTGTTTTGCTACTACCGGTCAATTTAAGTCAGAAAATGGATATTTAGTGCTTAAAAATGGTTTTAGCTCTAGTTTTGACCTTGAAAAATGCCCCCATAGTCGATAGCTTGGGCTCCAGATAGTGAAGTAATACAGGGTGGCGCATAATTACGGTAACTTTTCATGTTCACTTTATGACACCGAACCGTATAGTCAATTGAGTATTTCATACTTTTTATGTTTTTGTTTTTGTTATTTAGATTATTTTTAAGCTTTTATCTCAAAAACTTATGTTCTAATTTAGAATGGCGAAGAGTTCTCCTCATCGAAACTCGATCATCGCTCTTCACAGACAAGGAGTTTGCGCCGTCAACATTTCAAAACGTTTGGGGTATCAAAGAAGGTGGTTTCGACTTCAATCAAGAGATGCAAAGAATTGGGAACAAATTTGGATCGTCCTGGCCGCGGAAGTCATGTCTCAGTGACCACAAAAGCCAACATTGACAAAGTGAGAAAGCGGGTGAAACGAAACCCCAATCGATCGTCTCGCAAAATGGCCAAACAACTGACAATTTCTCGACGATCGCTGGGCCTAATCATGAAAAACCATCTAAAGCTGAAGCTCTACAAGCAATCCGGAGGACAATTTTTGTCAGACGTGGCAAAGAAGAAGAGAAAAGTTCGACGAAAAGCGTTTTTGCGACGGTTTAATGGTGGAAGACACCGATTTTGCTCAGACGAGCAGTCACCGACGAGAAGGTTTTTACTGTCGAGCAGTTTCTCAATAAGCAAAATGATCGGATTTACTCGATTTCTAAGCCCAATAAAGTCGTTTCTCGCAGTGGGTACCCTCAATCTCTCATGGTGTTTGCGGGTATCACGGCTGATGGCAAGACCCCCCTAATCTTTGTCCCCGCTGGAATTACGACCAATGCAAAAAACTATTTGGACATTCTCAAGACAAAAGCTCTTCCCTGGGCTCAAGGACACTTCAAGCCCAAGCCGTGGAGATTTCAGCAAGTTGGTGCAAACTTGGCTCAAGAACAACTGTCCCGACTTCATCAACTTAAATCAATGGCCACCATTATCACCGGATCTTAATCCGCTTGATTTTTCTGTCAGGAGGGCTCTTGAATCAAAGGCCTGATCAAAACCACATTCCACGTTGAATTCTTTGAAGAATGCGTTAAAAAAAAGCATGGAATGGGCTTGATGTAGCTAGCTATTTGGGCGCTACGGTCGGCGCCTTCTCCAAGCTTCTCGGTGAATGCGTCAAAGCCAAGGGAGCTAAGTTTGAAATCAAATAGTTCTTTATTGTTCCAAAGAATAAGAATGTCATATCGAAAAAGTGTTCATTTTTGATTTCTGGCTCTACAGCCTGATGATACTGGGTTACCGTAATTATGCGCCACCCTGTACAATATACAAGCGCGCACTTTCGAGCCCAGAAAATCGGCTTCAAATGGCTTTTCACTCTTCTTGTTTTTTGTAAGCTACGCATAAAATTACCGCAGAAAAAGTGCTTTTGAAGAAAAAAAGTGCCCCCCCAACTAGGATAGTACCCCAGAATTTATAGTATTGAAGAACATACCAATTGCATTTCTAGCCTTCTATTCTTCGCAGCTACTTCCACCAGCTCTTTGTCCACCTCTTTAAGCTGCACACCCGTCTCCAGACACTTCTTCTTCCACTTGCCTGCATCACTAAAAAACGATAGCATAATATACCATAAATTATATTATTTAAATACCTTTCTTCGTCCGAAACGTCCGAAACGTCCGAAACGTCTTCGTCGTTTTTCTTCCTCTTGGACGACATATTGAAATTGCCTAAAATGATTAGCAATAAGAAAGGCAGCGAACACTAAAGTTAAAGTTACTACACATAAATGAAATAAATGGTAGAAATTTCCGATTTAAGAGCAGTTAAGTCTAAGCTCTATAAAATTCATCAAAGTAAAAGCTAGGGATAAAAATGAGAATTCATTGAATAAGAAGCATTACGCCAAAACAAAACAAAAGTGTGGTTCGAGAAAATGATAAGGCTTTGAAAAAAAGATTTCTTCGAAAAAAGTATCGACTACGCGACTGTACGGGGGGCGGTGCTCTTCTATTAGAGTACTTATATATTCTTCTATTAGCGCACACTCAAATAGAAGCGCACCCCCAGAGGGGAGGGAAAAATCAGAAGCGCATGCGCTTCTATTAGAGTATTTACGGTACTAATTTCTTTGGAACTAATCGCTTCACAATTATAGAACCATTAAAGATAAGTTACCATAAGGTAAGAGGTAGACCTAATAAAATCATTTAAAATTGATTGATTTTGTAGCAAAACCTGAGCGAAATGATTTCGATATTCTGCTGGCCACGGTCAACATAGTCGTCCAAAAAGATGAAATTGGCGTCAGGTGGAAAAGTGGTCTTCTCGAAGATGCGCAAGAGGTCGGAATACTAAAAAGCAACAACAATAAACACAGTACTTTCAAATAAGCATACCTGTCCATGGATATCCTCGCAAACAACAATTCGTGGGCCAACTTCGGTGACTGATGGTTGATGCAAAAAGACATTCTTTGCTAGGCAACACAGCGACTTCAGCTTGTCCTCTGAAACCTAAACAAAACAATTAAAATGAAGCCTTCTGCAAAGTTTCTTCAATTTCGAATTGTTGTTGAGCAACAAAACTCGTCCCAGAACAAGCAAAAGAAGCCAGAAAAATACCCCGCGTTAAAATTCCAAAACAACGATCAAGTTTTAAAGAAAGTAAAAAGCACCCACGCAAAAAGCAACAACGTCAAACGTCCTCCGGCGAT